CACTGAAATTCTTGATTTGTTACGATGATGGGCGAATGGCAGTTCACAATGCGCCTGCCGCTTCGATGACAGTATTCTTGAGAGGTTCGATGCGAGGGATCAATCGCCGGGGATGCAATCCGGTGGTATTGGACAAGAGGTTGACATACCATTTATTTGGGGTAGCGATTTCAAGTATTTCCAGCATGTCTTCTACATCTTATGCACTTCTATAGCAATTTACTTCTCTTTCCCCATACCACCTACAGCACCATGCCATAAGCATCCAGATCTCCTTCCAGGAGCTTCCTATTATACCTGGAGCTGTAGCCGCTGTATTCTCGCTCAATGGCATCCACGCTTTCTATGCTTCAACTTTCGCGTCAACGGGGCAAGGTCCGTCAACCAGCAAGAGAGAGAAAAAAAATCGAGCAACAAGACCCGTTATACCCCTAGCCACGCTAGTGAGCGGCAAAACGTTCCCCCATGCATAACTGTACGAGGTCCTAACAATCACCAGTTTCAGAGTGCCCCATCGTCGTAGCTAATAATCCTTGTATTCAAGGCGGAAGGCGAGTTCGCCCGCGGCTGCAGCGGGTATTACAGTTAATGGATACAGTGGGTAGGGGCATCAGTAATTTGGTCGGCCGCGAAGAAGACCTATTCCCTTGTTTGACCCCCTCCATCTCTTTCGCTGAGAATCCTTCCATGACTCTCAGGCCCCGGCACCGGGGAACCAGGATCCAATGAATGGCAGGTCTAACTGCATCGGAGCAGCGATCAGACCAGCGCAATGGACAAGAGCTTGGAGTGACGCTTCGTCAATGCGATTGAGATAGAGAGAGTTCCAGGCTTCGATTTGGATATGTAGCAGGGACTGCGATCCGTACGCGGCCGCATTGCTCGGGATAGGACAGATATGCCCCTTTAGCCTCAAACCCTTCGACCATCTCATATGACAGGATCACACTTCTGATCAGAAACAGTTGGGATGATAATTTCTTCAGGATTCTCACTGAAGAAGAGAAAGAAGCTTTTCTAAGAAAAGGTTGAAATGATTCATTGGGTTTCCTAGTTAAATCAACCTGTATTTACTGGCTACATACAGTTGAATTTTTGCTAGTTGTGAGTGATGATTTTATTGATCATGAAAGAACAACTTTTAAATGGAAATACTGTTTCTTCAGATAAACTAGTATATAAAACAATATGCAGGCAAGGTTACGTTCAGGGGCAGCAGCTTACTGCCAGGTCTTCAACAGTTTAAGGACGAGTAGAAGTCGTCTTCTTATGTATGTTCGGTCAGGCTCTTTGTAATAGGCTAACGCCTGGGTGATAAACCTTTTCGTAACCAAAACTCCTTGCCGGATTATCCTTCTTCTGGCCTGACCTTATAAAATTCTGCGCCCCCCTAGTTTTTATTCTATTTTCTTTTCTCCTTCCAATGAATTCGTCTTTTTGTTCTATAAGGAAGTGCTAGGGCCGTAGTCGGTAGGACGCCTGTTACACTCTTCCTTGCTTGCTTGCTGCAATTTTCTCTTTCCTGAGTCACGCAAAGCAGTTACCCTTGTCTCAAAACCATGAAGAGCTAACGTGATGAGTGAGTAGGCTGGTGAGTTTAGGGGGAAGAACTGCAGAATTCAGAAAAGAATCAAGTTACGTTCTTCAAATACAGTAGTAATGAAAGCCTCTAGATCTTATTTACATCATATCATCTAATTATACAACTCAATCTTCTTCTGTTGTAAATCTGTTTTTATAAATGTGCTCTACTTTTAGAAATTATTTTCTATCTTATACTTTTAATTGCATTTTTTGTTTTATTGTTTATAATTTCATTTCATTTTATTTTTATTCTAATAAAGTTTATAAAAAATTTTAATATAATTCTTTTAAAGTACCTAGATAATAAATTGCCTATTGTAATAAAAGTTTACTAGTTAGCTAAGATAATTAAGTAACAAAGCTTTGATATAAACTAAAGACTATTTTGAAAATCTTTACTGATAAGTTATCATTGATAAATATAATTTAAACTTAAGTATCATTAGCAGTATAATTACTTAATTTAATACTGTTTAAATATTCATTAATATATATATTATTTTAAAAGTATACATGGCATATAAAATTTTTAAGAAAAATATAAAAATAATTTTAATATATTATTTAGCATTTTATTTAAAAAAAATCATTAAATATTAGTTTTGTTCAATTTTATCATTATTAAAAATAAGTATATGTAAAAAAATTACTAGGAATATCTTATATATTAATGTTAAATTTAATTAATATATTATAAAAATTAAAATTTTTATTCTTATAAATATATTAAATTTAAACTATATTTATAATATTAATAACATTTATTAATAGATTTTTTTTACTTATAAAAAACTAACAATTTAAGTTCTTAGAATAAAAAACTAAAAATACTAATTGATTATTATATATTATTTAAAATTACTGGATTTTTATTGATTTTATAGTATAAAATCAATTTTTAAATTAAAGTCTAATTAATAATATTTAAAAAAGTTAAACTCTTCAGCAACATTAATTTTAAAAAGTTGAAAAATAAATAATTTATAATTTCAAAATAGTTTTAAAAGTATGTTTTTTGCTTCAAAATTAAAGTAAATTTTCTTATGTAAGATTTTTATAAACTTTGCAATACTTCTAATTAATAAATCTTAAATATTAACTAATTGTTAAATATTTTATAAACTAAAATTTTATAAAAGAATTAAATTCAATAAATTTTAATGTAATTATTAAGGTAGACTTTATATTATTTAAAAGAAATTTTAATAAAAATAAAATCAAATACAATAAATCTGCTTTAGAATTATTACTAAAAATCTTTTTCACTATCAAGATATAATTAATAGATTTTTTTTTAGACTTAGTTATAACTGAAAAAGCTCAGGTAAAACTATTATGAAAATAAAACCTTATGTTTCTGACCTTGAAAACTAAAGAAATTTTACTTAATATTTCTAAAAATTTGATATTTTTAAATGCACAGGGGAAAAAATTGACAATGTTAATAACTTTAAAAGAAGAGTTTTTGTCTTTTTTATTTGAGTAGAATCAAAGACATTCATCTGTAGTTCTATTACTGTTAGTTTGATGACATACAAAGCTACTTGACTAACAGAGAACTTCTCTTATAGTTATTGATATGATAGTATCTAGATTTTTAAAATTTTCTCTTTACATACTGAACAACATTTATTCTCTCTGCTCTTCGAACTCATTTGTACATGTCCATTGATGCTGTGCATAAAGTTGAAAGTAAATATTATTTTCTCTAGAACTGTCATATAACTTGTTCTTTGATCTCATCACAATGTAAGAGATGAAAGTGATGAGCATGATGAAAATAATGATGAGATATAAAAGATGCTCAAGAAATAAAAATATTTAAAAAACCTTTAAACAATGTATGGCTGCTAAAATTTCTACTTTTGAATATGAAGTTGAAAATAAAATTTTTAAAAATTTGAACTCACTTCCAACTCATGCATATTTTCGTGTGTTTTCCCTGGGAAAAATCATTCAATGTTGTGGGACAGAGGCAGAACACTCTGTTATTCCCAGTTAAGATCAATCTATGCCTGCTCAATTGAAGCTGAATGCCAGCTTGTTCAGCATTGAGTTTTAGACCCATACTGCCATTTGTCTCACATGGCTGGGTAATCCGGGATAGAAAACCCAGGTGGCACAGTTCCTTCACTTTTTGTAATAGCTGTTTTAGTATATGAGAGCTGTGTATCTGGGTTAGCGATAGGACGCAGGATATTCCTGGAGACAGTGGAAATACCGATGCTCATGTTTTTTTGGGTTTAATGGCAGTTGTGGTGAGGTATATAAGTTAAGAGGCAAAGAGTGTTGATAAACTGTCTGGTTAGTGTTTATTATTTGGTTTTGTATATAACTACTACGTCTTCAGACTCCTAGAAGCATCAGTTGCATCTAAAGTAGATACCTTTTTTTTTTCTTGATGATGTCTCTAGAAACAATAACAATTGCGTCCTTCATACTTCACGAACAATAGAACAATAGATATTGATGGAAACAGAATTTCTTGATGTACCATGTCCGGCGAATGGATATTGGGCCCTGACCAGCGGCCCGTGGGTGGTCGTAGTGCTCAGACTCGTGGGGCTAAACAGGGGCATGCTAGTCCTAATGGGGCAACCACCTTTCTTCCCAGTTTCAAGTTCCCAGTCCAGAATAGGCCAACTGCTAAGAAAAGAGGAAAAACGCAAAAAAAAAGGAGTGGAAGAAAAGGGAAATACAGCGCAATGGATATTAAGAATTAAGAAAAAAAAAACAAAGGTAGGAGGAAAGCTGTGCTGTGCTTGTGTGCTAGGAGTGTCCTGTAATATTACATGAAGTTGCAGGGAGGTATTAAATCTGGACCAACCAATCTTGGTAATGCAACCAGGTCGAACCTAGATAGCTAACTATGTTCTGGTCTGTTCGATTATTACATCAACCAATCTGTTCCAAGGTTTTCCCGTTCCCATACCGTATTATACAGCGTAATTACAGGACCGAAGGTGCAACAGCCACCGGTACCCACAGCCAGAACATTGAGAGTACCCACTGCTCCAGCTGAAGCGTCCGGATAGGAAGGTACCGTCTTGTACCTCCCATGTTCCAAGCCCATGTAACGGATTTGGCTTCTAAATACCACCGGGCCTGTCAGGGCGTGAGGGTGCTGTGCCCATTTGGAAGCCAATTATGGATGGGTCATCAGTCAGCAGCTTCCCCCCTAAAGCCCCAGCTTCCAACTTCCACCTTTTCTTCCCCCTCCCATCCTCTTCTCCGACGACTCTATTGACTTCCCCCGACACTCTCCATCTCCATCTCTTCTCACAGCTACTCCTAAACCCCTGACCAACGTCGGAAGAGAGTTCCAATTCCTATCTATTCCATCTCCCACCCACGCGGTCGCATCCGTTCCTCTCACCCTCACCCTCAGCTCTCACACCTGAGCCGCAAAATCCGCCATGTCCACCCGCAAACGCGCTCGCGGAGATGAGGAAGAAGAGCTCGTAGCTCTCCCCAGCGATGAAAGCGAAGAAGAAGAGGAGTATGTCGGATGTCTCTTTGTGTCCCCTTCTCTCATGGTCGATATGCTATCTTTTCCCTCTGTTCTCTTGACGTCATCCATGTCTATCAGTTTCTCCAATATACCAATTGTCCAACTGGGGGACTGCTACCGACAGATCCCCTTTCTATTTCTGGTGCGATTGCGCTGGCTTTGTGGAATCTGGGGAGCATTGGGTTGTATTGGGCGCGGGGAAGTTGTTATCTACCTGCTTCAATCCTCCCTACCTTTGCTTCGCGGATGAAAGGAGCATTCCCAGAGTGGCGCAACCTCTCTAGCTGCACATAGCATGCCATAACCATAGCCATAGCCCATATCCCAGCCATCGAGCGGGTAAATGTCCAATCCAAATACTAACCACTTGTCTTTAAATTGATATAGATATGAGGAGTCCGATGCCGGTAATGAAGACGAGGAGGGTGAGTCTGCATCCGAAGACGAATCCGAAGGTGGTTCCGAGAACGGAGAAGCCGAGGGAATAGAGCGTAAGACATTCCCCTTATTTTATCTCGCCTTTCTCCCCTTATATTTTGTTAGCTATCAAACCCACAAATGAATTGTCGCGAATATTTTCCAATTACCCTCCACCCCCGTCTCGATCCACTCCACACAATCTCCGACTTTTGAAGAATTTTAAATCATTACTGACCTATCCATTTCCCCGCCAACAGCGGTGCACAAAAAACGTAAAGTAGTTCCAGGCCCCGACGCTGAACTCACCGGCGAAGCGGATGGTGTAGCAGAAGAAGAGGAGGAAGAAGAGGAAGAGGAGCTAGATGAAGCTGAGAACGGCCTGGAAGCTGAATACGAGGACGGAGAGGGAGATGCAGAAGCAGACGCAGAGGCCGAAACAGAGAAACAGAAAGAGAATGGTGCGCCTTCAACGGAATCTGCCGTGAAAGGCGCAGTGGCATCTGATGTTCCTGAGGTCCCCGCTTCGGCTCCAGCTCCAGCTCCAGCTGCGAAGGCAACTGCCAATGGCACCCCTGCTGTGGCTTCTGTTACAGAGGTGGAGGGTGTTGGTAGTGCTGGAGATGGTGAATGAATGAGGTAGGGGTAGTAAACGAGTACATGGGCGCGGGCGGTGTCGGGAATATAAACAAAGGAGGATGATGGCATCATGGAGATCTCGCTGTTGATTCCTTTTAAGTCTTCGGTCTGTCATGTATTTTTTTTTTTTTTTTTTTTTTTCGCGCTTGCGGGTGTGTGGATTGTGTGCGCCGGTCTTTGCGTGTGGGAACCTTTCCTAGGCGGGGAGGAAGGATGGGGCGGGACGGGATACGGTTTTGTTCATTTTTTTTTTTTTTTTTTTATCTTCTCCTTCTCTTCGGGAGGGATTGGATGGGTGTATTTCATTGTACGGGAAATAAGAAAATAGTAATGGTTTCTGTATTTTCTTGCCATGTCTTCTTGGTTGTATTGTGTCAGTATGCTTCCTTCATAAAGCTTTTTTTTCTCCCTGCTGCCTGATTATCTGTGGACGAATTGAGTTAGTTTCACGGTGAGTCAAGCTTCGTCGACACTTAACCGTCTGTCACATAGTGAGTGGCAAAGGTATGTAGACCCGGTATTCGTGGACTCAATTGTAGGATTTGCACAGGCTACCAGGTGGTTTCCATACCTAGGTACAGTAGCTAGATTGATGGATGATGGAAGAAGAACTTCTGGGGGGAAGAAAGAGACAGAGAAGCCCTTTTTTTTTTATCTTTATCTTTATTTTGATTTTTATTATATTTTCTTTTTATTTATTTATTTTTTTTAGTTTCTCTTTTATCTCATTGGATGGATACCTGTCTTTTAACCCTTGTGTATACATTAGACTGATGGATGTGCTGGCATCCTCTTCTTCATTAGCTATGATTTATGCAGATGTACCTGTTTGATGACCTTACATCTGGCCCTAACACTTATGTGGACTGAACTTAGTTTGTGTCTTAAAAAGGAGTTAAAAACAACTATTTGCTTCATTACCAGTTTTCATGGATTTTTAGAAAGAAATAACTTTATACAGGGTCCCCATATGCTGGAAACCTTTCCTCACGAAGTGGATAGAAGTGGGGGGCAACAGTCAATAGACTTAACAAGACAAATTGGAGAATAGGGATGAAAGAGAGCTCAATATATTAAATATAAAGGCAGTTTTTAGTACATTACATCGCTAAAAAACGATAAACAACAACACAACAATGAAAGCAGTCCACGATCGACTAAGGTATATAGGGAAATTATTGCCCGCTCAAGCTCAACTTACTTCTAGCAGCAGATTAAGCAGATTAATTTGGGAGAATAAAAACGCGCTATATATCAAACCGAGTTCCAGACATATCAAGATAATCGGAGGAAGTGCTTATTTATAATTAGGACGGATGATGATGACAAGAGGAATGAACTCACTCTAGGGAGAAAAACAAAAGGCAACACGAGAAAAAAAAAAAAGGCTAAAATTGACTTTCTAGCCGTCACTACCGCTGCTTCTGAAGGTAGCACACAGCTGGCAGTAATGATGTGTTAAATCCAGTACAGGCTGTGGAAGGTTCGTGGCTTGAACGATGCTGCGCACTTTAACGGCGCCTTCTTCTTCGATTAGTTTGCGAATTGTGTAGAGAAGGTCCGGGGAAAACTGCATAGTCGGATTGGGAGAAAATTGGTTAGTTTCCAGTTCAAACAGGATTGTTACATGGCGGAGAGAAGAAAGGGATGGTGGGTGGATTTTGTGGGAATTTATATGTCCTACTTACCTCTGAGTACCACCGATATTGCCATGCGATAAGTCTGATCAAGGCTCCAATCATTCCCCTCGTGTCGCCCTGGCGCTCATACATCTTCAAGATTCCCTTCATCGCCTTGGGGGAGAACCTGATGGATAGGCAGTGTTGGTAGGCTTCGATCGCTTCGTTGAAATGCTGGAGGCGATCTGCGAGTTCACCCAGGATCTCCCATTCCGTTGCTGATTTCTGATACTCTACAGCTTGTCGGCGGGATTGTTCCATTTCCGTCCGCCATATTGTATATACGCGTAAATCTTCGTAGAGAACCATGAATAGATTGTCGAGCCAGCGTTCGCATAGCCGTTTGTTCATGAACTGTGTATATGAATGTGATGTAGCATCGGGCTGGAGAAGATTTTAAAAAATGAGTTAATTATAAAGTTGTTTGCTTGTTTGACAACGTATCCATGGACGGAAATACAATCGCGGGTAGGAAACTCACATCTTCTCCGCCGGATTTAACAACTTCCGAAGCAACTGATTGTTCTGGACGCTCAATTGTCACAGGCTTCTCCTTGTTCTTTCTAGCTCCATCACTTTCCACCGATTCGCTCTCTTCCTCGCTTTCATCAATCTTTTCAGAGTCATGGTCAGCTACTCCGTTCCCGTTCACATCTGCATTCTCGCTAGATGATTCATGTAAAGCCACTGTGCTTGCATTCTGAACAGCCGCAGAAGATTGCCTGGCGCTGACTTGGCGTTCCGCTCTATATTCTTCTTCCATGACGAAAACTTCGCTTCGGATCTTCAGCAGCTGGTCCCAACCGATCGAGGCCGCAATTTTGGCGAGCATAGTGTAAGCACGCAAGAAAGTGCCCTGGTACCCAGCAGCAAGAAGTTTTCTGAGTGTAGGATGCACCTGGTCGTGAGGCTCCCCTTGTTTCGGCTGTCCCTCATCGATTTCATCCAACATGCTTTCGGGAAGGATTGGCAGAATAATTCGAGAGGGCTGTGGCATTCTTGGCGAGTCCTTATCTTGGTAGGTAAACATCGGACAAGAGTTCAGTGTCAGAAGTGCCAAATCCCATTGTTCCAAGTTTATGTAGACTTCCACTAATCGAGCCCACGAACTGAATTCGCTGGGTGCGGCCGTTACGCTACGTTTAGCACATTCGAGTGCCATTTCGCCTTCACCTTTACTTTGGCAGAAATCAGCTTGGCAATCTAAGAGCGAATAATCCATTGGTAAATCCTGCAGAGCATCATGTAATAATCGTACGGCCTGGACCTCCTCATCTGCAGAAATAAGGACACGAGCGAGGAGCGACGATACTTCAACATCTCGTGTGCGTAGCTTTTCAAAAAGGTTTATGCCAGAAGCATATCTTCCAGTCGTATGGATGTACTTTAAGATACCGGACGTTAGGTGGTTGGTAACGGTGTTTGGAACTTGCGTTTCCGGATCAGAGCTTAGTTGCCTCCCTACAGCTGTCATTAGCTCAGGCGCCAACGTAAGGTGTGGGTATATCCAAACCGTTGAAAAACAGTTTCTCCGCAGCATCGAGAAATTTGTGCTCCATCTCTGTGTTTGTGACGGGGTTGAACCTTCTCACGCCAACAATCTTTTTAATGCTGTCGCCGTTGCCGTTATCTGCATAAGCGTAGGCCCTAAGAACTCCACATAGGAACGTTTCGAGCCACAATATGTCCGTCGCAACCCTTTTATCGCCGCGCTCATCGATACAGTAACTCTCGAGGCTACCTGGAATCTTGACCTCAACTCGCATGTCAACGTGGGAGAAGGCGTTGTAGCAACTGTTAAAGCGGTCAGCATTTGTTGCAATTACGCATCCCAAAGTCCCTCACCAGTATATCCCTGAAACCACCTTATGGTTCTTGTCGACAGGAGAGTATGTAAGGGTATTGACGTAAGCAGCCAAACTGGCTGACGATGAGGCATCTACCCCTGTGACATGGTGATAAACGCCAGTCTGCCAGAAAATGAGAGAGGGTGTTAACATGCATCATGGTCCTTGATTGGAATGGCATACGCGCACATACCTGGGTACCTGTGCTGGTCTTCGATTGCTTGACCACATGGACCAGATCTACGGGCCCTAATTCCCGTAAATTCTGCAACGATTCCGTGCGAGCATCGATTGAGGCGTAGATGTTCTGCTCCTCAATGATCCTGTATGAAAGGTTATATATTAGCAATCCGAAATGGCGCAGCACAAAGTTCATCGATATGCAACATCGGAAATCCAACAATGGGGCCATCTGAAATAGATGCGCACTGTGGAGGTGACTTACTCCGGGATTGCAGGGGCAACCATGGTGCTCTGCAGTAGGCGCAAGAACAGGTGTTATTAAGATACGTGGGAATGGACAGTGGCGTAGAACATGGAGAGCATTCCACAAGGTAGAGAGAGTCGAATTGCATCAAGACTCGTTGGTAGAGGACACGGATTGATTCACTGCTGTGTAAAGCCTTTACGCAGTTGTTCAGGTGGTGATTGGTGTGCAGGAGAATGATGATTTGAGAGAGCTCTCTCCCACTTGGAGACGCCTTTGATGATAGTTGCCGCGCCATTCCTAATCGGGAAGATTTGAACCTCTGCCCATCAAAATCGCGTTTCAAGCGATAATTTAAAGACCTTGGACTTCATCGTGCACCCGTGTCTTGTATCATGTATTTATTTTACATTTCCTTTCCCTTACGTGCTCGCTGCCTTATTCTGCTATTTACATTGTTTAATCGATTGAAGCCGAACCGTAATGCTGGCCTAGGTTGGGTGGCTCTTGTTTTGGGCATTTACATCCCCCATTCTGCGCCTTTCAGTCGCCTCTCACAATGTCATCCTTTGTTGCCCTTAATATCGAGCCAGATGACTACAGCGAGGAGGAAGTTGATGACACTAAGGAAATCCAAATCGAAGAAGCTTTAAAGCTCTACCATAATGCCTTGAAGCTTCATTCTCAAGGCCCCCGATTCTATGACCAAGCTTCGGAGGCGTACGATGCACTTTTTAGGTCAGAAATATTCAACTATCCGGAGTCAATCTCGGAGTACAAGAGGAGCCAGCTTGAAGACCCCGAGCCCCAGTATGTCAGCTACTCTAAGGAGCCAGCAGCGGGACCTGCTGCTCTAGATGCTAGTGACACTGTTTCTAGTGCTCTACCCCAGACGATTTATTTGTCCCACAGAAACCGAGGCCAGTTTACGCTGGATAACCTGAGATGGCTACTACGTTCAAAGAAAGGAAAAGCTGATGACAGCAATGCGACCTCCGTTGATGTGTCAGCCGCTGCTGCTTCAGCCATCACGTCATTCGCTGAAGCCCTGGAAAGAGATGATTCTGATCTGGAACTGTGGAGGAAAAGTGCCAGGATTGGGGATGCTCTTCAGAGTCATCGCCTTGCCAGGTTTTGTCTAGAGAGTGTGTTGGAAGGCGATGATGACGGGTTAGACGACGGATTCGAGCAGTTAGGCCTGGAACAAGCTTTTGCGGGCGAAGATCTCCGTCAGGTACTTGAGGTCCTAAGTGATAGGTTGTCTATGTCGCAACGCCCACTCAAGCGACCAAGAAAAGCTATCCTTCGCCTGCTACAAAAACATATTGACCCTTTTCCGTTCCTTCCAAAGCGGCTGGACCCTTCGAGTGCGTCTCAAAGCCTTCTTGGAGTTCAACCTCGTCGTTATGTGATCACACCTACGTCTGCAACCTGGACTGCAGTAGGTGGGTCTATTTTACAAACTTTGCTAGATGAACAAAAGGACGATAGTCTTTATGGTCCGGGAGCTGCAATAGGAATTACGTTGCAGGACAGCTGCGAGGCCATTACGATTTCACATTCTGCCCTTCCTATTATTCAGAAGTCTGAGAAGGACGGGCGTGAGAGCGGAACCGACCAAAATCGGGATCTCGAATTGCCTGATCCGGAGTCCCAGCATGCTCCCAATTTACCTAAAGAGGGGGCTATTCTATTAAAGCCTTCAGTCGCCGATAATTCCCGCGCTAGCGCACGTTACTCCCACCCGCTTAATGGCGATGCTGTGGAACCCAACCTACCTCTTGAACAGCCTCACGATATTTGCAATGACAGCGTCCATGAAAGAACCGACGAGAAGACGAAACAGAAAACGCCCCAGGCAGCCCATGATGAAGTCGATCAGCAAGCACCTGCAGCACAATCTCGAAAACGATCTTCTGCATCTATCGGAAATGACGAGCAACAAGATGGTGGACGAGCAAAAAGTCGTCGTATTCGTGCTCGCGAATCAAATGCTGAAGTTCTCGTGCAACCGGGTGTTGTGCCATTTGATGAAGCTAAATATTATGAAGACCGCCTGGAAGAGTTTGCACATGCTGACCAATGGATGTTTGGAGTTGTGGGTGCGCTGCTATCCAAGTTTGGTGTTGAAGACCTGGGTACGATTGACGAATTGAAGAAATCACTCGGTTCTGATGACGAAAACAAGCGCCCTGATGGCAATACCGAGAAGTGCCCCGCCCAATGCGTGCTTTACAAGGACCTTCGAAAAGCTATTGAAGAATGGGATGATGACAAAGCCCAAGTCTTGTTACATGCAGATATTTCTTTACCAACTCAAGAGAGCGGAAAAGGTTCGAAAAGTTTGGGTTTAAGTAAGTTTCTTGAGAATTCACTGCAAAATAACCGAAAACCCGACAGAGAAGTCACTCTCGTAGAAGACGATGGACTGTTACCATTCTTGGAGTATATTAACAGCGGATGGTTCAGCCCTCGTGAGGCAGCATTTCTTTGGTTGGAACAACATCTTAAGCCTAATTCCCACTATCAATTGCCATCGGCCCCGAAGAGCCGGTTGATGGGGAGTTCCACATATATGAACAGGCTTTGGTCAAAGGAGATGAAAGAAACCGTCATGCAAATCCTTACCGATGACGATGAATTTATTTATTTGAAGCTTAACAATTTCGCTATTGCTTGGGAACAAACTTTATTGGCCTCCAGTTCAACAAGAACCATTCTTTCCTCCCAAATTTTTGTCTGCGCGGAGATTACGCAAAGCATTTACGAACTCCATCTTGATATATACGCAGCAATGAACAGTCTTGAGGGTAACACTGACCCTGACCGAAAGATCTTAGAGCTAGATCGGCTGAATAGATGGAGTGTACTTGCCCGTACCTTTATCAATTATCACCTTGATGAACGTGAGGAGGATGATGCTCAAATTACGATTGCGCTTCGCCATCTATGGGCGTTTACTTTCCAATTCAATTTGACAGAAGAGGTACCACGAGAATATGTCTTCCGTTGTCTCCAGGACTTGAGGCGTGTTCTGGGCTTGATTGGAAGTCCATCGATACCAATACTGAACAATGCGACAATTTCTGAAATATCCGTTTCCGCGATCGATCAGGAAATATCAAGACTCAACTCAATGGATTTCTTTGCGGATATTTTTGGCTCCGGTTCCGACGATCCTGTCCATCTCATAGAAAGTATCGAACCCATACTAGACCCATCATCGGTGGGATTTATCCATGCATCGTTGCCTCCAAACGAACTCGAGGCTCCTGGGAGTAACTCCAAGGAACTCGTTAATGCTACTTCACTGTCGGTTATCCGGGACATGATCTCAGTTTTGGACCGGGGTGATGCAAACTTAAGGCTTTTCCTCTGGTCAAAGCTAAAGAGGGCTTATGAGTCTATTCAATATTCTCCAAAGGTCGTTTCTTGTTACCTTCGGAGTATTGAAGTAGCAGTGGGGGAGCTTCAAAGGCCTACGTACTTGGAAGCATCCAGCAACCGTCGGCAACTTTCACTTTTGAAGTGGATCAAGACCATTGATGATTTGCTGAGTAAGGTGGTTGGAAAGGTGATAGACGAGCCCGAAATCTCATTCGAATGCTTTGACATGGCTCATTTGCAGTCTTCAATGTCTGCTGTGGCTAGGATATCTAGACTGCTTCACTCTTTTGCTCTATTCGAAGACTCACTTCGTGTTGGTCAGATATCTCTTCCAGATATACGTCCAGCATCGACTGCAAAAACTCTGGAGCAGCTCAAGGAAAAACTTCGGGGCATGCAAATCAAGGCGTGGGTTTTGCAATATGCGTTGCTCAGAGAAAGTATGGCACAGAATAAGGAGTTATTTGACGCGCCAAATGACGATCGTATCCACTACTTACGCTCCGTTCATAACGCTCTTGGAATCCGTTCGATATGCAAATGCTCTAACAAATTGCTGTTGAAGCTTATGAAGAAAGAGCTGTTGACTCTCTCAACTGAAGATAGCTACGAATTTGACGTTTCACAACTCCTATTCGACTTGTACGGACTAAAGTTTTTGAATATCGACGAAATCGCAGATCACGGATGCCCTATTCAGAGATTGGATCGTGCCACTGCTATCATGATGGTAGATTTTGTCATGACCCAAGCCAACAGAATGAATATCAAAGATGTACCCAAATCAGAACTGAAGTTGACGATAGACACCATGCAAATGGCTATTGGTTGGGCTACCAAGTTCTCCGCCTCGTTAACTTTCAATAAACGCGTTTTATCTGCCTTCTTGAAATCACCGATTAACCCGTCAGACCTCTTTCGTGCAGTGCAAGGAATCGGTGAGGTATCAATGGTCCCCATTCAGACAGAGAGCCTTGAGCTTGCAGATAAGGGATGGTACTTTTTACTCGGTTCTATAGCGTTGTCGAAATTTCGATCGCAAAAAAGGATAACTTCAATTCCAACGGATGATTTAGATCTTGCAGCCTCATTTTTTAGGCAAGAGCTGGAGCATGGTACAGGGAAATGGAAGACATGGTACCGCCTTGCTCAAGTATACGATCTCAAGCTCGAGGAGGATATGGCATGGTCTGCGGACAAACTCAACAACAATCGATCAGATCTGGCAACTTTGCAGCGGAGATCGATCCACTGCTTCGCTATGGCGATTGCAGCCGCTATACGGACAGCAGATTTGTCACCTGAAACAAAAAAAGAAATATCTGACCTATATACCGAATTTGGATTCCGGATGTATGCATCAGCAACGGAACCCTTGTCCATGGAAGCCTTTAGTTTAACGGAGTTTACACGGCACTATAGCAGTGGCGAAAACCAACAAATGTATAAGGCAAAGCCTTTCCAAGAAATGAAGCGATATACCGCATGGAACTTTGCAAGTTTCCTTTTCCGACGGGCAACAGTTGATCGGCCAAATTATTGGAAGTAAGTAACCCAACTTTCCCTCAGTCTGTACGGTATCAGACAGCTGATACGGATGTACCTGTAGGAACTATTACATGCTCGGCAAATGTCTCTGGAAAATGTTCAACTGCGACGATGCCATGAGGAGAAACAGTTCTCCAGTCGAAGTTGACGATATACTTGACTCATTGGCTGACGCTATCAAGGCCCTACCATCAAAGAAGGATAGCCGTTCAGACCCAATACTTGAACCTCACTTCAAGCTCGTGTCAATTGTTCACAAGCTTGTTCATAAGGGATTCTTAAAGGTTGGTTTGCACCCAGTAGCATATATGTGTTTGTGATATTCTAATTTTGTAAAAGCCTGAGGAGGCAAAGGAACGGCTTCTTGCCACACCATATGCACGGAAAGTGACCTTGAACGACGGCGATTGGAAGAGTTATATCCTCGAGGTGTTGAAAAATCTCAAACATGCAGATAAATCAAACTGGCATCATCGTATAATTTTACGGGTCAGTTTAACCATCCTCCCTTACAGAGCCGCCCTGTTGCTTGTACTGACAAAAGCTAGGCCGCACACGTTATTTATGACGATTTAAAAGACGACGAATCAGCCATGGCGGCAAAAGCAGAAGTTTCGCAACAGATTTTCACCAAAACAATGACGCTCCAAGTCTGGAGGCCCGAAAACGAACGTGCAGGAAGACATTTCGTTTACACAACTCGATATGTTTACTTCTTTGTCGGTCTTTTAAACCAACTGAACGACCGAGCAAACTTAGATAGCCTCATTCGGCGGGTGCGGAGAAAGCCAAATGACTATGTCAACCACACTAAACTCTGGGAGGATATGTGTTTTACTTACATCAAGGTGAGCTACCTAATTTTCTATTTATTTTACCTCGAATTTATAAATGCTGACTTCCCTCTCAAGCTTTTCCGCCGCGTCGGCGAGATTCCCGAAGGCTACGAAGACACGGTTTTCAAACCAGTCAGTCACGATGACTTCGTCATATATTGTGCACGCCTAGAAGATTGGTGTCAGAACCATGCAGCGGAAACACCCCTTGTAGACCTGCTCAAGGATGCCGTCGAGCTAAAAAAACTAAATAACGGTCTCATGAAGCCTGTTATTTTCGAGGACCTGGTCGCAGACACCTACGCAGTTCTCTATCAGAGCAACATATCCAAGTTCATCGAGCAAGTAACCGAGGAAGAAAGCCGGGAACGCATGAAGGTAGACCATCTCCTTATGGCCAACGATGGACCAGAGGGTACTCGAACACCCGCCGGACATTCCACTCCTGGGCAACCTGGCCCTAAGCCACGGTTCAAGGGAGTATCACGTAAGGAGCTGCAGCGCAAAGCTGAAGCAATCGCCACCAGAGCTTTAGCCACAAAACCAACACCGAAACCTGTAGTGCGCCCAATGGACGAAGAACTCCCGGCTACCAGGCCATCAGTAGCCATTGAAGTTGCGATGCCGTTAATCACCATCAAAAATTCTATTAGAGAAGAAGCGTCAGGTGCCCAGAGCAGTGTTCCGGGTAGTGTGCATGATAGTGCCGACGATGAAAGTGAACTTAGCGAAATCGATGAAGAGAAGGTGTCAGAACTGGCCGAAGTATCGACGTTGGTAGAAACAACGATGCCAAAATCGTCCACAGAACCTATATTTCCAAACCATCTGGTAAAGAGAATCATGTCTCCGAAACCCGGATCACCTGACCCGTCGACGAATGTCAGCATCGCTGATGGTGCGGAGGTGGAGTCGGCTCCTACTGTTTCGGTTCAGGATACGAAATCTGAACCTACAGAGGCTAGGCAGTCGGATGTGGATATGGAGGGAAATGCTTGATCAATTATTTTTGGGGCGTATTGTCAGTTACATATCGGCATTTTTTAACGTTTTTTCTTTGCCCTCTGCAGTTTAGCAGACTTTTTTTTTTTTTGCGTATCTGTATTTCTATTTCCATTTCCTTTATTTTGTATGAACTGCTTTATTAGTTCTGGGATGGTTTCCGGCTCATTCCAGGCAGGTAGACGGATATCAGGTCAGGTATGGCGAATATTTCAACTGGCGTTGAAATGGGATTGGTTTTCTTGCGGCGATATAAAGCTCGGTGCGCACTTCTATTTTTTTAATTTATTTTTTTAATACAGCTGGTTATACCATCCCTGCATACTTCATTGAAATGTGATATCTTTCCTCCTTTGTTCAAATGAGGTTAGCATAGGTCCTGTTACATTCCAACTCTTAATGAGAAACTAGCCATCCACTTTTTCAAAACAACGAAAGGAACATTAAGGGAAATGGGACGCATCAGTAATGCACATGAGATACGTAGGTAGTCGTCCTCAAGAATGAGAGATTGCTTCATGCTATAGCACTCGATGAAAGAAATCATAATACTCTCTCAGGCAATAAATTCCCAGATCCAAGTAACATGAGATGAAGAATTATGCAGTCAATTTCACACTCTCATCTCCCAAAAAAATAAAAAAAAATAAAAATAAAAATAAAAAGAGGAGCATTCAAGGGTATCGCCACAAGGAATATACAGAATAGTAGTTGATTACTCTAATTCATCCAAAACACTCTCCGGATTAAAATCGCGTTGCCGTGTCGTCATCATACGATGTTTCTTGGCCGCTGCCATTCTTTTCGCCGTAGATGATCCTGGGCTTTGGTTTGCTTCTGAGTCCAGCTTCAGAGACTGCAATTTTATGAGAGAGTTTTCGATGTCACTCTCACAGCTAGCATAGCTGTAATTGAGTAAGTCTTGCCGCGGATTCGCTAGGTTTTTCTTGAACTTTGTTGACTTCGTGCTCTGGGAACGAGAACGTAATTCACGCTCTAAATTGGCGATTCTCATTCGGAGTTTATTGTTTCCTTCCTCCAATTCAGCGATTCGATCTTCTGAAGGTGTTTGCAAGTCTTCGTGGACTATGTAAAAATAAAAATTAGCTTATTATATGACGTTGCAATGGTAATTAAGAACACTTACTTCTAACTCCCTTAGACAGCAAGTCCAGCTTCCTATCCAAGTGCTCATCATGGCGTGACGCCTGGATTGGAAGTTAGCTTGTAAATATCAAATACTTATAGTGAATATTGAGAGGAGTATTTACCTGTTCGTCCCATGCCGCTTGCCATCGTCGGCGCTCTTCTTCAACTCGTTCCTCCATCTCCTGCCAGCACTCCTCTCGTACATCTTGTTCGATCAGCATGCATCTTTCTTCTGCTGCTTTCCACTGGAACTCTGCTTCCGCTCTGGCAATTTCTTCCTCCGCCAGTTTGATGGCCAGCGCGTCATAATCATCACTGATTCTTGCAATTTCCAAAGCCGCGGTCTCAAGTTCCTCAGCGGATGCAGAATAAAGACTCGATTTCGTTTTATGAGCATAGGTTGGACTATTCCTTCCGCTCGCCGTGCCAGCCAATATCGTTCTGGTGAAGGAGGGTATGCGTGGCACAGTCACTTCACGGGCTAATGCAGAGTATCGTAAAATTTGAGATGTCGCGTTAAAGTCCCCATGGGCGTCCGCCGTAACGATCATGAGGGCCCTTTGTGGGTGTCTAGGATAGGAAGCTCCATGATTGGGCGAAGGGAACGAGTTGGAGAATAAGAGCTCCGTGAGTTTGCATTGTCTGTAGGGAACAAGTGCCTTCTGACAGGTAATTAGACAATTTATGTGAATGGATGCTGGGAGGGAAGAAACATACCTTACTTCCGTCCTGCAGATCACTCTGTGTTTGTAAACATTGACCTAAATACATCAAACTCTCGTTAATTTTTCCCGCTTCTGCAAGTGTTGCGCCTGTTGTCTTCGCATTTCTGGCACGCTCGGATCCTACCCATGCGGTATTCATATCAGTATATGTTACTTCAAAATATGGGAATAGCATAGATCGTACCAGCAAGGTCAACAACAGTCAAGGTATTTCCAACCCATGATTCTTCGCCAAACCTCCTATCTCTGACCCTTCTCTTCACCTCCACGCAGAAGAATCCGTGGCTTCGAGAGCTGACACTATTGCTCCCAGTCTCAGTTACTTTTCTTTCCAACAAGCCCGTCTCTAAAACCATTAGGGCATCTTCGTAAGTACTGCAAACAATTTTTCTCAAACCAGTAACGACCTTGCGATCTTGTGAACCTTCCGTAGGCTTAAATAGGAGATGACGCCGCCTTTCCTTCTGGTTCATAGCCGGTCGGGGACTCATTGCTACGTTCGAAGGGGCCAAGAGGTCAAAAATTCGATCATTGTAAACTTCATACATCGATACCAATACTACAGTCGCCTCTTCATTCGGGTTTGGAATCACAAGGTCGCTCACGTCGGGTAATTGAGGTAGCGCGCTAGGCCGATGAGGTAGATTACGTCGAGGGAAACTGATAGTGGACATCGAATCCTTTTTATTTCGAAGAGTAATATTAGCTACAGGTTTCGACATTCTATGGCAGTTCCAAAAGGGGAATTGTGAGGGTAAAGGGGGTTTCTTTGGAGACATGAACACATCTCCACGAGCCCCAATCGACTCTATGGAAGAAAGGAGTCGAATAGTCGGGGTGCATGAGGCGTGTATAGAAGTGCAATTTGGATTGTTTTGGGACAATCCTTCTGAGGAAAATCCAGACGAGAAAGAGTTCCACCGGGAAGGAGATAAAGGGAAGTTAAAAGGGCTCCGTACCGTCATTGGGGTTTGACATCTAGACATGGTGGACATTGGAGTTTGGGCCCGTGAACCTCGACCACGCTCGTTCCATGGATCACTGTAAATTGTTTCTATGAAAGATCTCGCAGAGAAAATCTGTGCTTCCGATACATCTGAAGCTGCAACGGACGGCAACAACAAGGGATTGGTCGTGATATCCGGATTCTGAATCGTTGACGAAATGGACCGAAAGAGGACATCGAGGGACATCTGTGTTATTCCACGCTGTGACTTCGATCCGAGAATGGTGTGTGTCTGAGAAGATAATAGTGGCCCAGTTAATTTGTGCACCTCTTCTATACAGGTAATATCAAAGAGATATCAAACCTTTCCGCTCCCAGTGACTCCCAAGGTAGCAACGAGGCCATCTCTGCCTTCACAAAGGACACCTTTTATCAACTTAGTCATTCCAACTTCCTCGAAGAGCTCAAGCTGGGAAGCATTATCTTCAAAAACTTTCGTAAACCCGAACTTTTCTACTGCTCGTTTTCTCAATTCGTTTGGCGGTTGTAGTGTGATATGGGTGGGCCAAACACGGCTTTGGTTTCCATCATCTCCTGTTGATGGGACCTCCGGACGTTCAACTGTAAGGTAGCTCTGTTTTGACGCTTGAGATGTTCCTTTCTGGTTCATTGGCGGCCGGAGTCTCAGAAAGACCTGGAAGAGCGATGTTTGCCCCGGCTTCGGTGGAGGTTCCATGGTCCTTGTATTGGATTTTATTACTATTTCAAGCAAAAGGAACTTTGAGAATGGAAATCCAATCAGGAGCGCAAAATCTAACAGCGTGGTGTTGCTGGTTGGGATAAATGTGGTTGTTGTTTATTCATACGACCTCTGCTGCTTGTTCCATCAGTTGTATTTCTTTTCCTTTTTTTTTTTTGTGTACACACACTACAAAGAAATCGCCGATAAGCCGTTGCCCGGGCAACTATCGCAACACCCAAGTTTTAGCGTCAACCACCAAAAAAAAAAAAAAAAAAAAAAAAAAAAGGGGGATCAAGGCGGTACAACGGTTTGAAACTCCATTGAAACTTATGAACAAAGTTGAAGTATGACGCATAATAAATTGACAGTGTTGTGGGGTTCGTGGTCGCTGTTCTACAAGAACAGGCGCAGCTACCAACTACAATAGTTACATAGTTAGAGACGCTGGGCTTTGTCATCTAAGGAGTGAATGATGTTGCTATTCTGTTTTGAAGTTGAGATATGGACATAAAGATGTCAGTTCAAAACTTTAGTTTTGGGATCCCTTGTAAAATGGCAGAAAAATTAGTAGGCAAGTCGGATATCAGATAATTGTGGTATCACACACAATGGCATATATTTTGCAGCTGAGTTAAGTGAGTGCTTTTGAAAAGAAATAAGACTTCTGGTTCCTCTCGTGGAGACAGCAGGCTCTTCGACTCCAATCAAAAATCACATTTGTAATAGCACCAAGGAGAATGCAGATTTAGGAAATAAAACGAAAATAAAATAAAGGGATATCAAGCAACAATATTGAAAATAATTGTTACCAAAAAAAAGGGATCCATTTCGCCCGACGTGCATAGCAAGCCAGATAAATCAATGCTTCATACGGAGGACAGTGAATGCCACCATTCAAGGTCTTGGGAAAATAAAACTAATCCATGTCAAACTCGCAACGAATAGGTGAGCAAATAGGTGAAGAGGCTATCAAGCAACGTATAACAAAACACCGGCGAACACATTATGTAAATAACATCCACAAGCAACCGATGGCGCCAGAAGGTGGTCGACAACCTAGAGATTGGGAAATCTATGGGCAAGTCAATAACCCTGGAAGGGCCCGTTAGAGCAAATGGAAGAAAATCTGCCAGCCGGAGAAACTTCGAACGAGGCTCATCTCCCCAAAAGATACTTGACAGCAAAACAAGTGCAGTGCATGTAACAAGGAGGAAAGTCTGCAAATACCGTAGATTATTGATATTCAGTCGCCCTTCCGTTCAGAAGGTTCCTTGTCATTTTTCGGCGCATCTACCTTGTCATCCTTTGCTGGCACAGACTTACGGTTCGCAGATTTTTTCACTTCCGCAGGCTTAGAGGACTTGGCATTTTTTGTTCGAGTAGGAGACTTGTCTTTGCTAGGAGCATCGTCTTTGGCTTTCTTCTTCCGTTCCTCAGCAGCCTTTTCCTTCGGACTGATGGTTGGTCCATTTTCGGCATCATCTGCGCCAGCACCATTTCCAGAACCCTGACGTTTGGAACGCTTTACTGTCTTTGTTTTCTTTGAGACGGGCTCAGCTTCTTCGCCTGACTCCTCAGCTGTTTTCTTGCTTCTGGAGCGTTTGTCCTTCTGAGGAGATTCATCCTTTGCGCAACAGATATCAGCAGGACTATCTAACCGGAGCTTAATCGGGATGCACTTACGTTGGCATCTGCTTTGTTCTTGGGAATTCGAACTCTAAATCCTGTTTTACCAGGGCGGTTTACTTCTACGTCCTGAGGAAATATAAAGTATCAGTGGTCTATTTTACCAAGGAGTCGAGGACCAAAGCGAATCACTTACCCCTCTCCAGTCCGAATCAGCAACATGCCCTTCCTCGACAGCATCACGGACTTTCTCTTGATTCTCTGTAGATATCTCATCATAGCCATCAAGGAGAGTATAATCCTTTTCATCACCCACGACTTCCTGCATATTGGCTATCTGCTTCGGAGTAACACAGCCCCTGCAGGTCAAGTGGAAGTCAGAAAAATCATAAACCAAAAGCTATAGGAAGATTACCAGTGCTTCCAGCTCCAGCTCTGGAAATTATCAGTGTCAACCCATGTGCCAAGACGTAGCTCTCCTTTGAGGATTTTCTCCTTTTTGTCCTGGCATTCCTTGTTCTTGCAGCCGGCCCTTCCCGTGCTGGCTTCCTCTAGAGAAGAGGGAATATAGTACGTTAGCCACGTACGTACGTAATTTTAGAAGTTTCATATTGCAAATAAAGTAAAATAATAATAAATAAAAGTACGGTGGAAATAAAAGGACATACCGATCCGATAGGTTGGCATTGGTCGACGTTGGAAGTTAACGCGTTAAGCGACAGGGTTCCTCGAAAGAAGCAACGGGTTTAGGAAGCAAGCTTGGAGCGACCTCACTGCAAATGAATTATTTGATGATATTATTCCTCCGTACATCCCGTTTGGCTTTCAATCAGTTTAACGACTTTGATGTTGATGTCGATGTAGACGCTTGGGTCGGACTTCAAACTTGACATGAATGACGATATAACCCGAGTGGTTGTCATTCATCCTTGGAAACGTCGCGGCGCTTCGGCTCCCCCACATTTCGGGCAACCCAACCCAAAAAGAACTTAAAATTCCTACGAAACTGAAAACGCAAATAAACGGGTTTTGGAACAGTAACTCCTATTGAAGACAAGCAACATCCGTACGCCATCCGATTTACACTTGTTTAAAATGTCATTCAGCTCAAGTCTCCCAAATGGACGGATGGGAGTGGGATCCATGTGATTTTAACCGCCGCAACTGGATGGCTGCTGCTCGAAGTCCTTCTCTAGTTAACTAGTTAACTACATAATTAGCCAATCAAAGCAACCTTCAACCTCAATCCACTCCTCCATGGATTAGCATGCTGGATCACCGATATCTCTAGAGTGAAATGAATGGGTTTGCAGAATTACCTGTGGGTATTAGATCGGCAGTAACCTGAGTGTGACATACTTTACTCTCTCAGACCAGGTGAATTATGCGTTATCAATGATGAAAAGCGCCTGAATAGTCTTGGGAAGCCAATGCGTTTGAAGGCTTGATACTTTTAACCCAATGGTCAAAAGTCTCACAACGATCACATTAATTTAGCACTGCCAGGCTCGTGTCGCGGGCTAAGCGGAGCCCAAGCCTGGGATATGCGGAGATATATCTAAGAAGTACTCCGTATACTTCTACAGTTAGCCTGGGGAACAATTGAATTTTTGTGGGCGACTGCATCTAATGCTCAGATAGGAATGGCATCACACTTCCTCACGGAAGGTATCTGTTCCTGCGATTCCAGATTGTTAATCCAGGTAACCTTGCCAACTGGAATCGGTTGCGCTACGGCGACATTGGTCTGGCATGTCCACGGCTCTGCGGGGAACCCGGCTCGCACAAAGAAAGTAAAACACTCGACCAGGGAGCTAAAAGTAGTGATGGTCGACAGGCGAACAAAGCACCCCTTGCCATTTCCATGTGTTTACGGGGCGCATCACACCTATTACTTCTTCAGCCAATCTTCAGTTCAACTATTTAACGAAGTATACGAAAGTCAACTGTCTCCGCCGCCAAACCCCCAACTAGCCGAGGTTGAGAACCCCAAGAACCCCAAGTCGAAGTCCATGAACATTTAAGCACAAAGCATGGGTTGTTCGCCAGTGCATGTTGTTGTTGCCATAATAATTGCTTAGAACAGATTTCGGCCTCTCCGATCAAAACGAACAGGATAATTAACCTTCTCGAACAAAATGGCGTATCCAATCATTGACGCTTGGGCCAACCCGGCTTTTCCAATCGAGGTGAGCGCATTCTCCATGTATTTATCAAGCACAAACTATCTTATTTCTTTGACGAATTTACATCCAAGAAGCCGCCTGGGCTGTTGGTGTTTCTCAATTTACCATTTCAAACTCTTCATCCGCAAGAATCAATTGCTGAAAGAAACCTTTAGGAAGACATGCCTGAGGTGCAACGCCTCTTCGAACAGTCTGGTGCCGATAAGAAACTGCTTGAAAAGCGGCGGACACCAGATGAGCTTGTTGCATTGATGGATGCTGCTGGGGTCAGCCAGATATGCATTTGTGCATGGTACCGGCCCGGCCATGCTGTCTTTTCCAACGCTGAAGTTGCCACGTTCACTCGTGCTTATCCGGATCGTTTCATTGGCATCGCGGGAGTAGATCTACTTGATCCAGTCTGCGCGGTTAAAGAGCTTGACCACTACGTGAAAAAGGAAGGGTTTAAAGGCTTGCGCGTGGTCCCTTGGCTCTGGGCCTTGCCACCTACTGATGCACATTAGTACGGCCTTCTCAGTTTGCGACCTTTTCGACAGTTGTGGAATGCCTGGCAGCTTACTAATAGGTGTTCCTGGCTATAGCTGGCCGCTGTATGTCAAGTGTGTTGAGCTTGACATCCCCTTTGTGAGATCACCCCGTATCGTTGACACCCGCGAAGATACAACCATGCTTATCCAGCGTTATAGCATACGCAAGTCGGGCATACTGGTCCCCTATGCCCCAGCGAAGTTGGACGACCAATTCCAGTAAATCTACCTCACCATAGTCTCTCATCATCAAGCAGAGCCATCATTGACAGAAACTGTTCAGTACATTGACGAAATTGCGCTGAAATTCCCCACGTTGTCCATAATTTGTGGGCATATTGGCTACCCATGGACGGCAGAGATGATTAGCGTAGCTTGGAAACATCCAAACGTTTATATTGACACCTCTGCGCATTTGCCCGCATACTATCCCAAGGTGATAGTTATTCCCGTCTCACCCAAATATCTTCCAGTTCCGCTGACATTCCTGACGTGCCTTGGCTAACAGGAATTGATCCAATTCGCAAATACCACTGGGCGGAAGAAAGTTATGTTCGGAACTAATTTTCCTCAGCTTAGCTGGAAGCAGTGTGTTGAGTCTGCCCATAAAGATCTCAAACTCCGGGAGGAGGCTAAAGCGGACTTCTTCGGTGGAAACGCAGCGAGAGTGCTGAAATTGGGGCAGGGAATGAACGCGACAAAAGGAAAACTCTAAGTTACTCTTATATGAGGGACCACAGCTAATTCTTCAACTCCAGAGTGTTTTAAACGTTTTAATAGTTATTTCTAACATCTCTGTTCTCGAACATTGTTTGGTATGGTATTTGAAGTTAAACAAAAGATGACCAAAAGATGACGCACTAGGCTATCAAAAGACAAACTTTAACATGCATAAAACGAGCAAGCGAAAAATATATTTCTTAATGAAATATATTATATATATATATATATATATATTGAAAGGCTTTTATATATGGAGTATGAGTGTAGTTCCAACCTTCATTTCGTATTTGAGGAAGATAAGGAGAAGCCCCAGTTGGAAAGGGTTGGTTAGAGTTTGGAGGAATGCAGCACTAAACCCGATTAGGCAATGTAAACTTTAAATTCTTTAGATAGGGCAGGCCCTGGCTCATCACCGATCCAATAAATCCCTCTCTCCTCACTCCTCTCTCTCCTCGGCAACAACTTATTACCTCTACCCACCTATACACAAATAACCAAAACATTCTAAAAGACTTACATTTATTGATTCTCGCGTCTCAGAACTGTTCCCAAGTTTCTAATTCCCAGAGCCTTCCCGGCGCAGCGGGATACCCGCCCATATCTCGCCTTCCCAGTGCCACTACTACCCGCTACAAGGCATTCACCATGTCCGAACCAATCCCAGAATCCATCCCTACAAGTCAAGACCCACGAAGCAAGCGGCCACTAAAGAGACGCGCCCTAACCCCGGTCTCCGAACAAGCCACCCTAATCCAAACCCTCTTCAAAGACCCCACGAAAGAAGTCCACATCCCCGCCCCGTCCAAACCCCGCACAAGCGCTACTCTACCACCTCCTCCAGAAATTGTCGCTAATGTCCAAGGCTCCTCGGCCGGTGCGGGCTCGGGCGAGTTCCACGTTTACAAAGCTAGTCGGAGAAGGGAGTACGAGCGTCTAAGGCTCATGGAGATTGAGTTGAAGAAGGAGCAGGCGGATGAGATGTTTGAGCGGAAGAGGGAGGAGGCTAGGCGGAAGGATGAGGAGAAGACGGAGAAGAATCGAAGAAAGAGGGAAAAGAAGAAGAAGGCTAAGGAGAAGGCGGAGGCGGAGGCGGGGCCGGGGGTTTCGGGTGCTGCTGGGGATGTTAAAATGGGGGATGTGGGGAGGGCAAACAGGGAGGATGGGAATATGGTACCGGTGGTGGAGGTGGCGGCAGTTGGAAATAGAGAAGAATTAGGTGTCATAATTCATGATGAGGATTGATTAATATTGGGATACGGTTGTTCGGTCTCGGATATTGAGTGTTGTGAATTCTACTATGCTACGAGTACGGACGGGGGATCACAAGATTAACAAAATACGAACAGAATGGCAAGCTTGATTGATTGCAAAGGTTGCTGCTGACTTGGAAACACAGACCACGTGATGAGAGGGTCGACGGATACCCATTAACTGCATTTATTTTTATTCAATTAATTTCTTTGGTGGTTATCCGTACAGGTCTAGATGCTGTAGAACAAGATAGGTGACAGGGGAAGTGATTCTAACAAAATCATTATTCCTCACCGCCGCCAACATTCGCAGATTGCTTCATGGTTTTCGCACTGCAAATATCATCTACTCGGAGCAACATACAAGCAGACTGTAGAGAAAGAACGTTAGATAAGAGGAATTGAAAATATATATGACTGTGGACAACTTACTTCAACCGCAGTTTTGATGCTCTGCAATTTAACTGCTTCAGGTTCCCACACGCCAAATTCTTTCATGTCAACAACTTCTCCAGTGTCGCCATTAACACCATATGTGTTGTTGCCCTCCACATGCTTGGATCTGAGGTTAGTCAGGACACGGATGGGACTGGCGCCTGCATTTTGGATTAGTGTTCTGGGGATAACCTCCATCGCATCAGCGATAGCCTTGTAAGGCCACTGTTGAATGCCCTCAACGGACTTGGCCATTAGTGATAGCTTCACAGAAACTGCCATCTCAGTTGCTCCACCGCCAGGCGAGAGGCGGGGATCGAAAATGACGTTCCTCGCGACAGACATGGCATCCTGTAGATTGCGTTCGATCTCATTCAGGATATCCTTTGACGGTCCTCTCAAAAGAATAGTGCAGGCCTTAGGGTTAAAGCATTTCCGGAGGAATGTGAAGTACTCGTCGCCGATTTTCTCAATCTCAAAAAGACCGCATCGAGTTCCAACGTCTGATTCTTGGAGATCATCCACTCGGTTAACGATGGTTGCACCCGTTGCGCGGGAAATTCTGTTGTTGTCTGTCTTGCGGACACGTCGCAAGGCAGTAACATTCTGTTTCACCAGGTAGTGTTGGGCCAAATCTATATCTTTGTTAGGCCTTGTGGTTTACTTAATGATCAGCCGGTTCACTTACCAGATACACCCTTCTCAGTAATAACAAGGTCAGGTTTTAAAGCAAGGATCGCATCACACATGTGTTTAACTTGCTCCTCCTCTATCTGCAATATCCGGTTCCAATCATCTTCTTTCGAAACTTCGATGTTTGTCTGGGACTCTCCCTTTTTATACTCGAGAGGGCAATCGAGGAGGATGATTCGTGGGTTCTCTATTCTCCGTCGCATTTTTGGATGAGTGATATCCTTGTTGAGCATAACTCCGTCAATGACCTCGCTATCCTCAATCTCTCCGCCTGGTACCTTTTCTACACGAGCATAGCGCTTGATATCGACCTCCTTCTTTCCACCGCCCGCATCATAGGAAACAGTTCTCACGGCCTTCAATGCCAGATTGCACATGAGTTCTGACCACCGCGAAACAAACTTTGTGCCAATCGAAGAGTGAATTAACTTATACATAGCTTTGTCATCATTAATATCAACTGGTAGTGATATATCTTCTACTATGGCAAGTGCGTCTGAAAGAGCGCGTTTGAAAGCGGAGATGATGACGACAGGATGTATGTTTCGTTCGAGTTGAGGGAGTGCCTGGGCCAGGATTTCGCCAGCTGGTTTTTGTCAGCAGGAGCAGAACCATAAAAGTTTCATGTAGAGATAAGTACCTAGAATTATGACAGTTGTGGTACCATCACCCACTTCCTCATCTTGTGTTCGGCTGAGTTCGATCATACTCTTAGCTGCGGGGTGAGCTACCTCGATCTCGCGGAGGATGGCATGTCCGTCGTTGGTGAGAACGATTCCGCCCATAGGATCTAGAAGCATCTTCAACATAGCCTTAGGCCCCAGGCATGATCGGATAATATCTGCCACACTGCAATGCTTCGTAAGACAGATGTTCCAATTGTGGGGTGGGATATACGCGAGGGGTGAGGTTCAAAAGACTTACGTCTTTGCTGCTGTGATGTTGGACAACTGCGCTTTCCGGCCGACTTGTCTACTCCCACTCTGGGTGTCTACAGTTCGTCTGTGAGCGGCCTTGATTTCATAATCTCATTCTATAATAAAGAGTGTTAGGCTAAACATACTCATCACCACAACAGGAGCCTGCATTTTGGCGAGAATCTAGATGTCTCTCAGGCGGGCGCGGGAGGACAAATTCACCGATGGGAGAACAGGCGGCAAACGAATTCCACGACAGAACAAACTATATTCTAATAGAAAAGCATGAAAACACCGTGAAGTAAAATCGGGGTGCTTGAAGACAGTTGCAGGATGGAAGCTCCTTTGGCGTCCCTGGTAGTTGTCACTTATTTTTTCTCCCAAGTGGGAGAGACCCAGCATATTCAACCCTAGACTGAATATGGACTAGTGCGATAAGCTCCCCCCCCAAACAACAACAACTGCTTGAAACGCTTTGAACTTCCAAATTGAATGTTCTCCTATTTCCAACCTCGTTCCTTCAACATCAGAAACTTGCAACATGTGATATGAAAAAATATCCAAAGGGCCAATTTTTGACATTTTATGTCTATCCTGATCCACTGTTTATCATGGCCTTATTGGCTTCATCGCCCATGCGGCAGAACGGGGGATTGAGATCCGTATTTGACTCTTGCTAAGTCAAGCGTTAACACTCGTTATGGGCTTCCACAAGGCGTCAGCACCAGAGAAATTTCTTGTATTTCTCAAAGAATGGAACATCGCGTTGTTGTGGTCCAGTTGGGGAATAACCGCCCTCTGAGGATCGGATCGTCAGGTGCTTGAACAGGCTTTTACCGTTTCGAGAGGCATGAACAACACGAGATTCCTCCTCTATCGGTAAAGCCAAGCAAGTAGTCCATATAATCGTATTGGCGATACTTGAGGTTTGGGTTCTTCACGGATAGCCGTTCGACTCGCTCATGGAAAAGCTCACGATAGTTTTTCTGAAGACGCTCTGGCAGCTTTTCCAACGCTTGTAGCTCGATCTCGTATAGCACCTCCTCCTCGTGTTGAATCGATGCCACCGGTGTTTCTGTTTGTATCGGAGTCTCACTGTACCTCTGGCGACTGTTACGGAAGAGAAGTTTTTTCAGAGAGCTCCGTTCCCCAGTTTTGTCTACCTTCGACATTTCCCTCTTCTACTTTTCAATCTACCACCCACCACGTATGGAAATCTCTTAAGATTTCGAAAGTGGGGATCGGCTCCCTTTCGACTTAAATCGGAAACACCATCAATATATATATACATGAATATTATTCACTTATATGATCAACATTCAGTAGAATCACAATCACCATAATCCTTTCTGTATCCCGATTGCTTTATTCAGGAAAACCGTATAAAATATTAGTAGATTGCTTTTCCAAGTCATTCATGGTTTCTGGATAATGCAAGTATAGGGCATCGGCATGTAAATGCTCCCAACACTTGTGTTGTGTCAGGGAATCATATTGGTAGATACCTCCGTTATTATAGTACGCCACCCAAAAGAAGGCGAAATTAGATGTAAATAGTTGATGCCCGGGTACCGTCTAATAGAGCTTAGAAGTCACAACGGAGGTGACAATGAGTATTTAATACCTGCAAATAAAATAAGGCCCTACGATTTTATAATACCAACCTAGACATTGCTCAATGTTTATTCGTTACTCGTAAATTTACCTGCCTAGGAAGGAGGATGAGTATCTAAAGTTTGACGATTGTAGATCCACAAAACATTGTTCAATTATCCGACATGAAAAATCCGAATTCACAGTTTGAAGAAAAATATGACTTTAATTCCTCCCACATTGGATAGCAGATACGTGAATGATGATGGGGCAATAAGATAATTGCAATAATGAACAGAAGACTTCATACCGTGTAAGCCGCTTCAGCATATCTTTTATATTAATAATTCCATCCAATGCTGAAAAACAGTATTTAGTCTTTCCAAAAAGGATCAAACAGAAACATTTTCCAAGCTGGGATCTCGACAGTAACATGCATGTCTTGATAACACTCCTAACAGCTAGGGTGCACACCATCTTCAAACTGTAGTGATTGAACGGGAACAGTGTGGTGCTGTGTCAAGGGACTTCCTCTCACCGCTTAACCATGATTGACGTAAATGCGGCACACCGAAGAGAAGAATCTGTGTATGACGATGCATTGTAGAACTCACCTAAACTTACATTAGTGATGTCCAAACTTAGATCATGAGCCACGGTGAAACCAGGGAAGCTCGCGACGGCAGTCGAGGTTGCTCTGCATCACCTGTAGAAGTTTCTGAAACCTCAGTTCTCGACATGATGGTTCTTAACGTCGAAGTCTGCAGGAACCATAAGGGGTTTTGCACATATCGGCCACATGGAATCTTGCACTCGGAGACGCAGGCATACTTTTCTCTTTTATTTTTCTTCTCTGCATCTTGAACGGGGTGTTTTGAAAGGGTGGTAAAGTATGAAATCTCATGCAGAAAAGACAGGAAATGTTTTCCGGTATCATTTATCTTGAACTTTGGCTTGAGGGGGTTCATGTGTAACTTGTATACTTAAGACCAGCTTTGGCATGTGCAAACGATGATACCCAGATGCAGTCCAAAGAGGTCCCTCTCCCTCACCATACACAGCATTATCCAACACAACGCAATTAGATACGTCCACAAGTTAGATGCTGATGGAAGCGTGTTTTACATTCCACCGTAGAAACCTGGGAGACTTTGAAAACTACCAAATTAGGGCTACCTTGAAGCTATAAAGCTTGGAGCCAAAATGCACTAGCAGAATCTGGACTAGTGTTCAATAAAGTTTGAGCTGTAAATTCATTGAACGCACTGGAATTTTTTAAACGGGGCATAAGCTTCATATCAAAACCCCATAATGTCTCGAACATATGTCGGGCAAAGATGCTGATCGTGATAGTTCCACGGGAATGGAAGCTAATGGGCCGGCGCTGGCCCAACCGACAGACCACAGTGACGTGATCGTTCCGGCGAATGCTCAGAGGCAGCTTCTTCAACTCAACTCGAAAGAAGGATTCTTTGCGCAGCTCACGAGCAATCCATTTTTCACAGCAGTACGTTATATATCAGTGAATTAGCTTGGAACAATCTCCTTTTTCACATGCTCATATGGGTGCGGAATTGACAGGGCTTTGGTCTTGCGGGCCTTGGGGCTGGACTTACTCTTGCCCAGCGCGGTATTCGACATGGCGCCGTTCTCCTCCGCAAGCGCATGCTAGTTGAGGTGGAAATAAATATCAAGGACGACTCTTATGCGTGGTTTCTGCATTGGATGACCCTATATCAACGGAGGCAGCTTCACGGGGCACAGAACACACCCAAATCGGGTGTCATTGACTCCATCCTGCGGAGACTTACCCCGGGAATGCGACAGTTGTCGATTCAGACGCAGAAAGTGGAACATCCCAATGGTGCGATACATACAAAATTTGCGCTGATACCTGGACCGGGAAAGCATGTGCTCCGGTATAAAAATGCCTTCATCTTTGTCAATCGAGTTCGAGAGGCCAAGTCAAGAGATCACCAGACCGGCCGGCCTTGGGAAACTGTTACCTTGACAACCCTGTATTCACAGAGACACATTTTTGAGGACCTATTTAAGGAGGCACACGAGTATGCTGCAAGGTCACAGGAAGGCAAAACCGTCATTTACAATTCTTGGGGGACTGAATGGAGACAATTTGGCCAATCTCGCCGCAAAAGACCACTGGAATCTGTTATTTTGGACAAGGGAGTTAAAGAACGGATCGTTGCTGACGTGAAGGATTTCCTTGAGAGCGAATCCTGGTACTATGATCGTGGTATCCCCTACCGGCGGGGTTATCTTCTGCATGGGCCACCAGGCAGCGGCAAGAGCTCCTTCATTCAAGCCCTCGCTGGCGAGCTGGATTATGACATAGCCATCCTTAACCTGAGCGAGAGAGGCTTAACCGACGATCGCCTGAATCATCTACTCACCATCATTCCCCCCCGCGCTCTTGTCTTATTGGAGGATGTAGATGCTGCCTTTGGGAACCGGCGCGTGCAGTCTGATGCTGATGGATACCGGGGAGCCAATGTAACCTTCTCGGGACTCCTTAATGCACTTGACGGCGTGGCTAGCGCTGAAGAACGGATAATTTTCCTGACGACAAACCACGTTGAGAGGCTTGACGAGGCGCTTGTCCGACCCGGTCGTGTTGACATGACCGTTAGGCTTGGCGAAGCTACGAGATATCAGGTAGCAAAGCTTTGGGAACGGTTTTACGGCGATTTTGACGAGTCAGGTGTCTACCAAGCTAAATTTTTGGACAAGCTATATAACTTGGGTATTGTCGAGGATGAAAACAACCACAGGCTTGCTCCTGAGAGAGTCACCAGTGCTGCAGCTCTACAGGGACTCTTCCTATTCAACAAGAGTGACATGGAGGGTGCTATAAGGATGGCGGATGAACTTGTGTCTGAGGAATAGATTTGACCGAGGATAGGGGATGGGGAACACATTTGTACTATACACCAATTTATTAATTCACAACCCCTCCTCGATTTAACCAACGTTCAGCCGATTAGTTCAACAATTGTAACAAAAATCCGAAAGAATTCAAGCTACGACATTCTCCACCGTTTTCTACTTTTACCTCTCTTTGAAAACCGGCCAAATCATCCACATAAATCCCAAGCCTTATTCAATAACTAACCTTTCAACCATATCTCAGTGCATAAATTGCCTCGCAGGAATGTGATGAGCGTGCAGGTCGTATTGGCATAACAACCTGACACTTGGGTTCTTTCTCGCAGGATACGTCACGTGATACATATATTCTTCTTCTTCAGGTAACCAACCAGCTTCAGCTGCTCTCAGTTCAACCCTTGCTTTGATGCTATGCCTCACCGTCCAATCGCAAAAACGTTACTTGCGCCGTCTTCCCTTAGCGAATCACACTACGTTGTATTCGGGCCATGACAAGACAAAGATCGACTAACTCATCCAGCTGGCACCAACTGCTCGCTTTAGTGGTTCTCGAGTTTCACTGTTCAAGCTTCAAAGCGCCGAGAGAGTAATGTGCTTGCCACAACGGCTCCAATCAGCTTGCCCTCAACATTAACTGCAAATAGCCCCCCTCACCTCTCCCATGAGGTGTCGCGGGAGCCATGTTGACTTCCAATGCTGTTGTTGAACGATGCCTGGTGGCCCCAGTCTCACCGATTTATTCCTGAGGCTGCCTCCTGGGTCTGCATGCACAGATGCCAGAATTACCACCGCGAAAAATGTATGCTGGCTGGCTTTATGTGGGTGATGGAATTTAGCATCCAGTCCCCGTCGTATGGGAAGCCCCGGTCCTGGTGCAGTTACAGAAAACACGGCTGCTTGTCTATTGGCGGATCTCTTGCCACCCGTGTTTTTTTCATTCCTGGAGCAGGCGTCAAACTATTGCCTAGCGAAAAGTATGCATAATCTGTATTGATCTTCGATTCTATTGATCATCCTCTCTTTGCGGAGGACTGCTCCCTTGCCTTGAAAAATAGATGGTCCCCTCAGGATGAAATTTCTCCTTCTTTTGTTTTCATCTCCTTCAATTTCTTCCTCAGTTTCTATGTTTTCTCTCCTTAATGTGTTCTTCCCCAAACTCGGATCATTGCTTATGGTTATGCTTTCTGACGTATGAACCTGAACTGAACCCTGGGGATCCCTCCTTTCCAAGGTTCCCTTCAAGATAAGGCTGCCTTCTTCTTAAAAGCCCCACAAAGCCTACGGAGTACATAGTTTTGCTACGATCAGTTCGTAAGGCAATTGTGGTTAACTTACCTTGTTCATTTCTTGAAATCGAAGATAGAAATGGCGAATCAAACCCAGTTTCAGCTATTTCCTCAGGTGCAACCGCAAAACAGGCCCAATGGCAATCCGTTCAGAAAGGGCCATCGCCGACGAGCTACGAAATCCCCAGTTGTCTCTCCGGTCGTCCCATCCGTCTTAGAAGTTGACAAAACTTCTGCTCAAACGGAGGCAGTCATCCTTCAAATAATCGAGGACACAAATAAAACTCCTCTTGCGCCTCCTCCGCCTACTCATATTGCAAGATTACCTTCACCTTCACCTTCGGCCACTGCCAAACTAAGGGAGGAGGCGAAAGCGTTTGGGTCTCCACAGAGATCTGACAATGGCAAATCTCCTCCCACCCAGTCAATTGCACCGGAATCTATCCGATCCGGATCTCCGGTTCAAATCGAGGTGACCTTGGGCTCTCCGTCAAAATCAGCTACCTCGCCGGTAGTACCTATGCGATCGATATTTCCTAAGTACAATCCCAATGTCCCTTTAAATCAGCAGCATTACTATCCGCGACACTCGATTCCATATGATCTTCCACGAGAAGTTGTATCGAGATGCGACTACAGCCCAAGCGTAACATCTCCTCAATCCGCTATCCCTCACACGAAGCGAGAGTCTACTCAACTTGCAATAGCTTCCAAACTTTCGTCAACAGAGGAACTCACACGTCTATGGGAGGCCGCAAATGGATCAGGACCGCAGCCTGATCTTGGGACCTTCCATCTGCGTATTTCCAGGTGAGTTGGCAAAGCTTCCTTTTGGTCCGTTTTTACTGTCTGTTGCTAATTCATTTGTCTTATAGAATTGACCATCTAACATTTTCTTTCGGAAACCAATCCACGTCACTATATAGCTTTAAAACTAACGCTATTGGTGACGTTGAAATTCAAAGATCCCACCCAACTATGGATAATACCAAATCACCCATCATTACACTCAATAATGCGGATATTAATCAAGTTAAGGGGACCAGCTACATCACGATTGTTTCCCCCATGTTGGCAGAGATCCTAGCTAGAGATCAAGCCTTGAGCTTGTCAAGGCAGCATCAATTAGCTCCAACCGATGCGATGGAAGTAGAGGATGACGCCGTTAGACGGGCCCAAGAACAGGAGTCTTGCATCCTAGAATGGAACGGCGCTCACTGCCGATACGACGTTCACCATCAGGCGTTGTTTAATGCCCCGAGTGACGATCTATCGAATAAAGCTGAACGTTCGGGATCACCCACCACTAAAACACGAGGGCAAATATTGCATCTTACGGTTTCCTCCAATACAACAGATAGCGCAATTCTAGGTCAACCTCCATCGATTCTCATTACAATCCCAGGTAAAGTCTCTACCAAAGACACTCCATTGGTAGCGTTGGACCTTGAGACAATGATGCTATCAATTTCAGCTGGTGTCATATCCTCTATCGTTCCAGCCTTATACTGCATAGACACGTTAGTTGCCTCAATCTTCATAATTGCAGCCACCGACCAATCTACCAGAGCCATTCTGGCGGACATGGGAATTGAACCCCCCGAGGCCAAAGGGGAATTCCACGATCCATATCTCATCACCCCGCCTTCCGGAACAACACCGGCAGTTAGTGCCTCGCAACCACGTTTTAATGGCCCGCTAATAGCAACGCAAGCAGAGCGTGAGGAGGCAGAGCAAGAAGCTGAGCTAATGTCTCAAATTCGCTCTTCTCCCAAACGAAAACCAATTTTTTCGTTTTGGGGAAGATCACAAACCTCATCCTTAGAAGTGAAGGTCAAAGCGAAAAAGCAAAAGCAGATTCCGGTCGTGATTGAAGAAGTCGACCTAGAAAACTACGGACGCTACAACAGCGGATCTAGTGAAGGGGAAAAGCTCCCCGCCCTCACGAGATCCGTGCTAAAGCTAATATTCTGGGGATTCAGTGCTGTTATCTGGGGACTGACTGTTGCTGTGAAGTTCATAGCATGGCTGTTGATTAGCATGACGCAGTGTTTTACCAGCAAGAAATTTTAGCGAAGGCGCGAGGAGACATATAAAATAAGCGTAATTTAAGAGGCAGAGTTGCCAAAAATACGACAAAGTTTTCACGGATTCCCCGTTGATCTAGTTTGTATCAATCGGGATGATATATTTTGTCCCTGTTTTTACCCCTTTCTTACGACGTACCCCAATTAAAGAAACGAGGAAATATTTGTATTGCAGTTATTGAGGTTTATTTGTAATGCTTGGTTTCTTTCATGAAACCCTTGACATAGAAAGAGGGAACTGTCTGAAAATCTGAAAAATCGCTCTCTAGAGCTTCTATTCCTGTCTTCCCCCCTTTTTTCCAGGTCACATTCTTAATAATTTTTTGCCTTGTTTGTAGCACTTTCACATAACTCGTCCCGCACTTCCACAGCTTCCCCCTTAGCCATTTTTGCGTTGCAGACCACCCATATATGGGACGGAACAATGACGGGTATATGCAGCCAATGTTCCAATCTTCAGTAGCACCTGGCCCCTAGACAATGCATTCTCAAGGGGAGCCTGATCGCAAGTTTTATTCCGTAGCAACGTGTGGACAGGCTGAGGGGAGGCTTGAATGGACTTTATTTGGCATCTACCAGCTTGGGTGGTGACGGTACGTTTAACCCCTAAACCTCTCTCTCTTCTGGAATGTTTAACATGTCACAGGACAACCAGCTGCAGACTGAAATGGACAAACTCTTTGGCATTTGCTTCCTAGTTGGATCTACAGGAACCGTTCAATGTAACTATTTGTCCAAATGGTCCTCCTAACTGTACATGTACCGTGCAGAGAATTATAAAGAGGAGCACAAAGAACATACATAACCTGTGAATTGATCAATTAACTGCACATGTCACACTCTGGTCCTGCAGAAGATGCACCATCTTCAGATATATGACTGGTAAGGTGCCCCAATTGTTTAGTTCTTAGAGAGCAGTAACGAAACCACTATATTTCCACAGGCGAAGTGAGGAGGTGTAATACACCATTCAATTTTGGAATGTCGATTAACAATGAAGGACGTCGAAATTTTCAGAAAATCGGGTTACACCACATTGGTCGTACCCACAACGAATCAAGAACAGCTCTATTTCTTATACACTCCTAATTGAGGTGTTCCAAAGAGCCCAAGGTAACAGTTGTATTTGAAATCCTCCAACAGAAAATAAATGTAATAGAATCCATGAAAACTCCCAAGAATGGGCATGTTTCAGCTGTTAATACACCAACCACACTCCAAACAGTGACGACAGCCACTCGACCATTTCTATAAAGAAATGTGGTAGAGAAAAAAAGATAAATCCAACAAGGGTATCACATCATCCAACACGGAATAAATATTCGAGATAAAACATAGAGAACTGTATGTTCTGGCGCCTATGCGGTGCTCCTATTCCGTCTGTTGACAGGGCTGAACGGCTAGAAAACTATCAAATGCAATGTCAACGACCCAAATGATGACAAGACTAGTAATATTCATGGTCAAATAGCACCAAAAAAAAACAATCAAAGGAAACTCAGTTCATCATCACTCGAGCCATCGAGATTATTTTCTGCAGCGCGCACTATGGTTGGGTTTCGTAATGAAGATCTAGTCGAACGGTGACGAGTTATCATATTCACGGGGGAAGAGATACGCGGGTTGGTTGTGCTGGAGCTATAGCATTGCAAAGGGTAAAGACGAGGTGGCTCAATGGAGAGGACATCTTCGTCGTTATCGTTATTGTCATCGTCACTACTGACATCGTTACCGCTATCTGACTTTGCTGGCGCTTGCACTCGTTTTTTTGATATGGGAAATTTGCTAGGTTTTCTCTCCATTTGTTTTTTCTTGGTATTGGATATGACGACCTCAACCGCTTTTCGGTATCTTGGACCCTCCAATGGCATTTTAACTTCAACAGCAACAGGAGAATGAGGATAATTGATCCTTTTTCTTTCACGTAACGCTCTTGTAGTGTATAGAATGGGTTCAGATTCATTAAATTTCGTTGCAGTTTCTAAGTGTGCAAATTGATCAGGTATTAACGGGTCAGGCTCGCTGTCCCCGCGTTCATCAATATAGAGACTCCAAGTACGTTTGCCCCTGGACCATAGCCGACGAGTAGGTGCGCTGAATGTAGAGGTATATGCGGCTTTGTTTCGTTTGCTCGAGTTCGGTTCCGGAAAATTGACGATTCGTTTCCGTCTCCGAGAACAAGATGGATAGGGGGAGTCTGATGACGAAATACTTGAGTTATACCCCTCCGAAGAAGCTGAAAACTTACTGGAGCTTCTAGACATTCTGGCATCTTCCGAAATACTTAAATTTGATGGGACATCTCGAGGGTCCGCCGAGGAACCTTTGCGGTTCTTATGGCGACATGGCCCCTTCTGTACCCTCTTGTCAGGGACTGCAGCAATCCATTCTCCAATACTGTCTTCCCATATATAGCCACTCTTTGACAAAGCCAGCGATGGTGTCAACGGCACGATCACGCCTTGGTGGAAGGGAGCATGCGTATATGACCCCACTTTAGTCTGTATATAAGCAGCCCAAGAGTGGTGATCAGGGTGGAGAGTGTATTCGGCAAAGTCCAGTGCCGCATCAACAGCCACCTTGCTCAGAAGAGCTCTAAGCGTAGGATACCGCTGCAAACTAGCATCCGTAAGCGCATCCGTAAATAGTTCCAGTTGATTGAATCCATCGTCTGCTCGGGCTCGACCACAATTCTGCGATACATGAGTCACGAACGTCGACAGGCTACCCGTGAAATCTTTTCGATTTTTCAACCGGCTAATAAAATATTCAAAGGCAGTTAAAAGCCCGGACATGATAGCATCATCTGTTTCTCCCTGCCCGCTGCATCTATTGATCATGCAGTTAAGAAGATAATCTGCCATCAAGATATACCCAGTTCGTAAAAGCTGCGATCTTGTGCGATTCTGCGCTATATCAAGCGATGCTGCTAGTATATCATGCTGCATTATGGCTGACAGCCTAGCTAGTACATGCTGCATGGAAGAAGCAGTTGATGACGGTGCATGTGGTTGGTTTCCAAAACGCACAATATGTGCACTACAGAGAATACCTAAAATACTCGAAATGCTATTATTCAAAGCAATTGTTAAACTTTCGTCTGTTCTCCCGTTCGAATTCGTCGAGATTTTCCGATATGTGAGATGCGGTTTCGGTATCCCTCGAAGAGCTTGTGACGTATTCGGTGCTTTGTCCTGGGGCGATTCGAAAGTTGATATGTCGACGCAAGTGTCCGACCCAGAGGCGACAAGAATCATATTCACAATATATAGGGCGGAAGCGGAACAGTCACCATCCTCACATGATATTGACTGAATAGCATGAGTCACAAACGGTTTCATGGACTCCGTGGCTATCCACTCCACAGGCACGATGCCGTACCGTAATAATGCCCCGACCTCACGAAAGAAGAAGCTTAAATGACTAGATTTGTTGACGTATGTAGCCAAAGTATGGAATACCCCAAAACTCCTGGATGAAAACAATGTACAATCCAGATGGCTAGGACCTTCAATTCTCTGGGAAACAGAAAGGAGGGCCGACAATATTTCTCTCGCAGCATCGTACGAAGATGATTCAATTGAATTCAATACAAGTTGGCGGCCTATCATCGGAGATATCCACCTTTTCTGAATCCCCTCGCAAACTAAACGGATGCCATGGAGTCGTACAAGAGCTTTGAGGGGTTTCCATCCTGCATTAGGTGTTCCATAAATACTTTCTAGTTCTGTGAAAATAAGATCTGCCACATCGATCTGCTCGTCTTTGTCTTCGCAATTGTCAGCAACCTCCTGTTCTTGAGCAATATACATGGAAGTTGTATCCAAAGCCATAGACAAAAGAGATCTTGCCCCCCAGCTAATGCTTTGTTGTGGAGCTGTCATTATAAGAAATGTATCCCAAACTTGGAAAATACCCTGCGCGATCGCAATATATGACGATTCATTATACTCCTCACACGAATCCTTCCATGTCCTCTGACTATTCCATCCCGAATAGGGCGGTGGCTTACGTTTCGCAGAAACCCGACGGGAATTTTGGGTTGACGAGTTTTCATTAGAATCCACAACTGTAGAATTCGTATTTGCATTCCCGTTTGCCCCATCCACCGTCTGGCCTTGTCGGCCCTGTCCCTTTATTAAAGGAGTGGGGAGAGAAAACTGCCCGGGCAAAAGCTTCTGGGCCTCTGGACTCCTCACAATGACCCTCGACCGGCTCCCAATACGAGTGGAATATTTATGCCTAATACGCTTGCGCATGGCACGTCCTGGAACCCAAGTCGGATCATTGGGGGTAGACTCTGATTCGGAAGTTTCCCTCTCCTCTCTCGTCACAGTGCGGCTGTCCTGATCGAGGCTGCACGCATTGGTGCTATTCAAGTTCGGAGCACCCAATGGGGTTATCTTCCAGTATTTTTCCAGACGCAATATTGTAGATGTTAAAGGACGCAATGCCCTATTACACCATCTCGACGTGATGGGGACTTCAGACGCGGAGGGCCTTAGGCGCGAGGTTGCGGAGTTTGAAGCCATTATTGCGAGAGGGGGAAAAGGCTGTTCGACCTGAATTTCGTTCCCTTGCTATTAGTGCCAATGCCCATAATGCCACCACTCACGAGCAGGTAATCAAGCGGTTATATCATCAGCATACCTGGACTTCATCGAAATGCCTGCGCAGCTCAACCACTCCTGGCTGCCCGCGGCCGAAGGGCTCTCCAAGGTCCGGGATGACCTAGCGTGGCGTTCAGAGGATACTTAATTCATGGAAATGTAAGGAATATATCAATATATCGGACCCAACCAGTGGGGTATTAAAATATGCAATAATAGCTATTTGGTCGTATTATTGGTGATACTATTAAGACACATTTCTACAATGTCTAGAGAAGTTCGGACGATGTAAACAAACGCTAGTCACATGACCATGGAAAATTCAGCCCTAAATTTCTCCTTGGCGTGCGTCACAGGCACAATCAGTACGAACTTTCTCAATACTACTGAAAGGGGGGTTGATAGGGAAAAAAAAAAAAATTTCCAAGGAGTAAATCACGAAATGAGAGAAGATGCCAATGGTTTCAAAATTCATCTCTATAATACAATGTTCTTCCCCTTTGCCCGTTGCCTATGAAGCAGCGTTTAATTAACTATACATACTGGAACAAACAATGTGGCATATGGCGTAAAAATGGGAACATTAAGAACAAAATGAGAAAATGGAAACAGTGCTATGTAGATCCCTATATTTTGTACAACGAAATAATACCACAAACAAATAGACATGATAGTACATATTAAATGCAAAATACGAATAATTTGTGAGTTGAGATGGTTGCAAAAGGGAAGAGGGGTTCACAATGGACATCGCAATGCAATCATCCATCATATATGGATAACTCAAAAACAATGCTGGCTAAAGGGGAAAGGCTCTCGCATTTTACTATGTCTTCGGGATTTGTATAGAAAAACAGAGAAAAATTTCCGCTCAACAGTATCTGGAGCTTCTGCAAGAAGACTTTTCGGGAATGGGCGGGTCATGATTCGACTTTGACAAAAATAAAAAGCAAAACGGGAGAAAGTAAAAAAAAAGGTACATAGTAATAACAGAGTTAGAAGAAATGATGCAATTAAATGATAAAACAAATTTTGATAGGTTTGAGGTCAGATAATACAGGAACACACTTTTAGGTGGTTTTCACGGGGGATTGTTTTGATCCACGAAGCTTGGGATTGGTGGTTGCAGCTCTTTTCTTCTGCTTAGTGCGAGGGTTACTAGATTCGCCTCCCTCGATGAACTTCAAAAGCTCATCAATGCTTCTCGAGTCTAGTCCGTTTGGTTTACTTGATGTTGCCCCGTTGGTAGTCGCGGGGTTCGATTGACCAACCTGAGGAAGCGGTTTGGTTCCCATGGTCACGCGAGGAGAAAGATTGGTCCGGCGCAGTCTGCGCGCTTGGATGTCCTTCGCATGCTTAGCGATGGACACGGCGTTTTGCGTGAGTTGTTCAAGCCAGCTTTCTGCCTCTTTGGTGTTTCGATCGTTGGGACCAAGTTCGTTGAGGAAAATGTTGTAGGCATCACGCATGCGGTTAACGGCTGCCTTTGAGTCTTGGTCGAGAGCGAGGGCTTGGGCAAGCTGGAAGAGAATGGTGGCGGTGTTAATTGATTGTCTTCCGAAGAGGCCTTCGCAGACTGTCAAGGAAGATTCAAACCATTTGCGGGAGTCGGAGTATTTCTTGAGATGCTGAAGCATGACAGCAGCGTTGTTCATGGTGGTGATAGAGTCAGGGTGATGAGAACCATAGATAATTTTCCATAGCTCTGAAGCATGTCTGATATAAACGAGGGCGGTTTGCGTATTGCCTGATGCGTGCTCGAATAAACTCAGGTTAAGGTAGCTCAAAATAGTGTCGGCAGAGTCGACGCCCATTGTTCTCTCAGTAACAATGACAGCTTTCCGGGCCAACTCAACAGCGGCTTCCTTCTCGTCTGTCTGGTAGTAAATCATGGAGAGCTGGTGGTACAACTTTGCCACCTCTGGGTGAAGGATGCCATAGATTTGCTCGTGGAGGGACAGAGATTCCAAGATAAGCTCTTGTCCAATCTCTTTCTGGTTCTGCATCAACGAAATACGCCCAGCCTCCAGGGCTTCCTCCGCCAGTGCACTTCGGGGGGAAGCATCCTTAACCAGAGGCATGATGTTAAGAATATCTTCCGGTACAAAAGTGATAGCGGGCTTAGGGCTTCCCGACGTCCGGCTTGGGGAAGCATTGTTGCTTCCCTTCTTCTTCTTTTTCTTGCCCTGCTCATCTTGCGAAGCGCGAGTGCCATTGGTAACAGGCGAGTGTTCCTGAGGTTTGATCTGTGAATGCTCAAACGCAAAGTCACGAGCACCTAACTGAAGACTAAGTTTGATAGCGATATCTCGCAGGATTTGAAGACGTTTGAGAGATTCAACCCAGCTAGGATCCAAGTTGAATCTAAAACGGACCTTGATGTTCTTTTCGATATCCTCTTTCAAAGAAGTGGGAGTAACTTTTTCGAAAGAGAAATCACCCTCTGGGTAGCATTCCCTCAATTCCTCGTCTATTTCCGGGAGTGGGTTTGAGTTGAGTTGTGTCCCAAGCAAACAGTTCAGCAGATGTGAAATGCAGGACGCGGCGAAAGGAGGTGGAAGATATCGCAGATATCGGTTGGCAATATGTTTAAAGGCACGAGACACCATCTCTTGGATCAAAAGTGTGCTCAAAGCAGCCAGCCTTTGCCCCTTTTCTTGTGAGAGCTTGGCTAACTTGCCCAGGTATCGAACATTGATACCTCGCTTGTGGAGAAGTTGGGTCAACGATCTGCTGTCCATTGGGAACCCTACGTCACCATTGTGCAAATCCTGGATAAGTTCGGGAATGATCTTGGAAATCAGATATTGGCAGGCCGAACGAACCTCCTCCTCATCCTGAGCCCACTCCTCCTTTTCTTCATCGGTCTGAGGCACTTGTCCACTGAAGACATCGGGGTTGAGGGCAAGTTTGAAGGCGGAGATGTCAACACGTTCCTGTTCTCGATCGACGGGCTTCTTTTCACCTTCACCTTTTTCATCCGTTGATGGGGCCTCCGTCTCATCTCCTTTTGGTGCTTCAATCTTTTCAGCCTCTTTCTTCGCAGCCTTTCGCAGTTCAACTTGCTCCTTCACATACTGGCCCATCTTAAATCTCCAGTACGACTCAACCAGCTCCAACCTCAAAACAGACATTCTGTGGGGATATGGCTCATGTCCCTCAGCATCTTCAGTCCATGCAATATCCAAAGGAGTTATCCGGTAAAGGTCGAGAACGTATTTTCGACCATCCGTACCTAAGAGTCCCTTTGTTTCCACGCTCCCTTCCAGATCGTGTCTTTTACCCTCTTTATCCCAGACCGGATGCTTTTTCACTCGCAGGGAAGTAGACAGTTTCTCAAACACAGGCACAAAGTCCTGGTGCGCTGTGACAATCTCCTTACCCTCAACTCCTCCATAATCAATCTGGTGCTCGCCAGGCTCCCGTTGCTTGAAGATGCCAGGAACTATGCTCTGTCCAACCAACCGCTTGCCCAAGTAGTCAACCACAACAGTGCCAGGGGTAAAGAGGCCGGGGATATCAAGCTGGTTGACGGCTTTCACGCCCACAATGTCCTTTCCAACTGCAATCCTAGCAGCCTCGTCGCCACCTTCCGACGCAAAAGTCCCAACTCCATCAGCTCCAAAGGAGAAGAATATGTTGTTATAAACGAAAATTTGAGCGTCTCTCCCTTCAGTTGGGTTCAGAGGTGTAATTTCGCCTCTGGCGACCAGAACAGCACCACGGGCAGCGGCGTCATTGTAGTCAGCAAAAAGCTTTGAGGTCAAACGTTCTCTAAAGACTTTATCCTGGACCGTTTCCCTGGGTAGTTCCCTTGTACTCTGGAACTCTTCATTCCAGTCTCTCAAGGTTTCAGAGTTATCCACGCCGGAAATCAAATAGTTCTCCTGGGAACGAGTGATATCGGCCTGATGGGCCGTAATTGGTGAAGAAGCCGCTGGCACAAGCCATGGGTTGTTGGGGATGGAGTTTTGTAAGGGAAAAGTAGTCAACAAATCTTTTTTGTTGTTTGACTCCTGTAGGGCTTTAAATGCAGCATCGAAGGACGGGGACAGCATCGAGATCAGCGTCAGGAGAGAGTGGGCACTGTAATTCTTAGGAGCGGGTCTAGGGAAGGGGTCGAATTTGGCATTTGAGCATTTGTTCACATAGAATCCGGATACATGGGATGTTATCTGATGTTGCTCGCCTTCATTCGTGGTTACCTGCAGGTATAATAGGTGTCCGCGTTGGCGGAGATGGTATGGTGGGGGATTCCAGGGCGACAGGGAAATTGCCTTGACCGTCTTAGGAAGTGGGGGTTGGATTCGGGGGAGAATTGTTTGCAGGACGGGTGGTGCCGACACCTCGAAGTCTGAAAGGGCATGACCGTTGGCCACATCTTGCCCTTCTTTTGTGTCGGATAACTGTTCACCAGCGGCGACGGCATCATGGAGCGACAAACCAGCACAGATGCCGTGCAAATTGTCAATGCGATCTCCGGCCGCACCAATCAACTCTCTTATCCGAACTACATGCATCCGGGCCTCCTTCTCGGTGTACGGATCCTCGATCAAAACAACTTCGGAATCGGCCTGGAGGCCCTTGACCTCGGACAACTCAACATAGTCGTTTATTCTGGTTCCATTATGCTCCAAGTGAAAGCTCGTGTACTGAAAGGTACCTGGTAACTCGACAATCGACTGACGAACATCCTGGACTTGTTCCTGGCTCGATACCTATAGAAAAATTGATCACGTTAACTGATGTTCGAATTAGCGGGAGGGAAAGAGTTTCTCACCGTAACTTGGATGGTGTACGGCTCGTGAGGAAGCTTGACGGAAATCTGAAAAAGAACTGCATTCAACTCCAAATCGGTCATCAGGAATTCATTTATAGTCAATAAGTGATTAACAGAGCGCTCTATACCTCCAACTTGTTCTCCGTCTACATGATTTCCATTGGAAGTTTGCTCAACTCCGTTTTGTTCCGCAACCTCTGTGGGTGATGTATGTATTAGCATTCTCAATTTGATTGTTCTAAAGATGCCCACGGGAAAAAGTAATAGCGATGATTGCTCGCCAGGCTTTCAAAATCCCTCATACCTTGAGGATGTTCTTTCTCCTGAGTAGGCTGATCCATTACTATTGCTTTAAACGCTGCTAAAGATGTCAGTCCGCAAGCTTAAAGGTGTAAAAAGCATACACCGTCCCAAACCTTTTTTTTTTTTTTTTTGGGACGACTAGAGACTCAATGGGTGCAATAAATCAACAAATAAAAACAAATGAAAGCAAAATGGCAAAAGAATCAAAAGAAGGCCAGTCTATAGGGTTGAGGTGAGGAGGAGCAGGAATTTTTAGCCCGTTCAAAGATTATATATATATATATATATATATATATATTCCAATGCTTTAACGGAAGCAAATCTTGGAGAAAATTTCACGGAGCCGGAATTTCTCCTCGGAAACCATCGGTCCCAAGCGTAAACCTGGAGTAAAAGAAGCACTGTAGCACTGGTGGCACTAAACCCGTTCGGGTGAGCTCCTGCCGCCGCTCGGGCCGAGAGTCTAATTCTAAACCTCAACCCAAAAAAAAAAAAAAAAGGGTAAAAAAAGTGCAATGGCTCTTATGGCTATTGTGCTGGGAAGAATAAGGCACTAACTTGGATTGAAAATCTCCGTGGAACTAGTCTTCCATTGTATGTCTCCACACATGTACCTGAATCGCAGAAGGTTGAGCAATGAGTAGACTTTGCGGTTAAAAAAGGAGGAATAAGGTCAGTAGTTGTTCGTCTATGCCGATATGATCCCCACCATATAAATTTCTAGAAATGAAGATCTAACAACATTACGGATCACAGATCATACAACCACTCTGGATGTGGAAATAATGACAAACCTATCGTCAGGAAACTTGGTCGCCGATTAATCCTGATAACTCGTCTTCCTGTCCCTTTTCACGCAACCGTGGTTAACATCAGTATTTCACGACCGCCGTGTTCAGGTGACATCCGCAGCAGCCACCGTCCCCACATGGCCCGAACGTATGCTTTCAATATCATGACTGTCGTGATCACTATTTTTGGTTCTCTTCTCGGCATTCCGATGTTCGCTCAGATCAACTACAGGGCTAGCTGATCGCTGCGAAAATGCGCGAATCGTAATCCGCCACTTGGGGACAGGCATTGATTTTAATGGCCATTGCGAGTCGATGCCCGTAGCTGGATTCAATTGCTCAGGGGAACCCAGACAGACACTCTGCTGTCTTCTTCTTAGTACCGCTTCCCCCGATGTCATGATCGAAGATCATCTGGCAGCCTGTAACTGTCTTTTGAGATTTCCTTTCTCTGTCAACGTTGGAGAACAAAGTGCAGACGTTCTCCTGATTTTACAAAATCAACTGTGTATTTTGTCTCCTTATACGCATCCTGTCTATGCTCCCCCGTCCGATATATCCAGCAGATATAGGATCGTTTGAACACACCAAACGCCACGACGAGGACCTCCTTCACGGCCTCGGGATTCTGGGGATTGCTGATCATTTCGATGTTCCCTCCGAAGTCGAGATGGTGGAGTCACTACCGTTGAGTTCATACTATAGTTTATGCATATGAGCTACTACTGTCGAATCTCTCTCTATACAACTCACATTGAAATATCCGTATCTGTGCCTTGTCCCAACCTAGTAAGGGGATCACCGTTCGTGTGAGGATGCCAGGTGATGGGAGTGTCCGCCATGTCGAATATAGAGACGTAATATCACCTATTAGAATAGATCTATGATAAGGAGTTGACATAGAGGACAATCGCGCAAAGTGAGCTGGTACAGCGTATTGTCTGGATTCTAGATGAACAAATAGACTAGACTTCATATCAAACTGAATCTAGATATCGCGAAATCATGCCATTTATATCATCTGTTGTTCTTTAACTGTGCTATTGGTAATGAGCTGTGATTCATAGCATCAACTAAATAGAGCTTCTAAAACCATTCTCCAACTTCTGGCGTGAGTGATACGGTTTCACATGATGACTCGAGATATGCAGGGCGATCGGCTACGGAACTTTTGGTCGGAATATCTCTCTATCGGTTGATACCATGTGTATGTTTTATTTCATTCGCGTTTTGACGGTATATTTTTTGAAAGAAGGATCCAGGGATACTGTCTCGACAAACCAACGTCTCCTTCCTCTGTCTAATCGCCTCTGCGGTCCCAAGTATTTAACGCAGGAAAACGTCACAAGAGCCAACATCATGAAAAGCGCCATCTTCCATCATGGACCAAGTCCAAAAGGTAATTTAGATGATAAGACATGTAGTTGACCGCCGCGGAATTATCGTGCGATGTCTACAAAGCTCTTCCTGTCTGGAGATGCTGTCAGCACAAATCTGACGTTTGCATTTGTACAAATTCTTCCCGGGGTGGAGGTGAAGGCTTTGATTATTCGTCATCCCATAGCCATTATTGTCCTCTTTCGACTTCTCTGCTTCTGCTGTTTGCGCAACTTGAGCTGGACTCAAGGAAAAGGCCCGTTTTCTACCTATTCTACCCCGTAATAATCCACAATCCATTCATCGGTGCAATAGAGTCACCTCATCCGGCAGAAAGCCGCCAATAAAAATTATCTCCGTGGCCAAGTGCATCTTACCTAACTGACCTATACGCACAATCACACTTGGTAAAGCTCCTAGAGCACCCGATATCACACAAACTCAGTCCCAAATGCGGCGGAAGCAACAGGCTAACCTCTTTCCTATCCACTTTGCATTCTTCAATGAAGCGACACCACATTTTCATTTGCCAAACACAGTTCGGGATCACTGATCTCGGTTAAAAGGTACCCCGTTGAAGGGGCGACTGATGATAAAAGAAATTGAAGGCTGCGGGGTTGATGGTGGGAGATCAAGCTGGATCTCAAGGCCGAGGTGCATCTAACGGCACGATATTTGAATCGCGTGTGCATTGGAGCAATGTGTCTGGTCCTTTTCTGTTCTCTTGATTGCTGACGAAAGATATGGGAGTTACGGTATATGAAATTTGTTGGAAAACTCATCTGGCGACTTTTTCGAAAATGCGGTAGTTTATCAAGCCTTCAATAAAATAATAGAACGCCATCTTTGTTAAATTCTTCGCCATCCTCCATACCAGCCAGCCAAGCGGTGCCCAGTGGACAATGGATATGTCTAACTCGTAACAGATAGCTGAAAAGAACTTGGCAGCGGTTAAGCGGGCAAAAACACGCTGCTCCAAGTGTGGCTGACTATGGCTGTGTTTTGGTGACCTTCCAACGAAGGTTTTCTAAGAGCAAATTCCGACTTTGTAGAGTCGTGTAAATTTTTGTTTTTCTTTCCTTTCTTTTCTCTCCTTTTTCCTTTTTCTTTTTTTTTCTTTCTTTTTTTTTTTTTTTTTTTTTTTCTTTTTTCTTTTCCTTCTTGTTTTTGCAAGCTGTTCTCATGCTAATTCCACTCCTTTTTGTTTTCTTTCATACATTAACCACAACTTCCAATTTTCCCCCACTTTGGTGTTAAAATACACGGCAGGCCGCAAGGCTATTAACTCTTACTATCAGTCACATTCCCTCCGAGATTAACTATCCTCTCACCGCCTAACCATTTAACCACCAAGAGCCAAAACGACATTGTCTATGTCCGCGCAATGTGCTGGAATCGCATATGCGGTGGTGCACAGGCGATAGTATCCTCCAGGCCTAGGGCAATTTGTCCCCAATTTCGCCCTTGGTCTGTTCTTCCTTCGACCCGGCGAAATGTGCAGAATATACCAGTCGGGTCCCCGTCCCTAAATCAGAACGGATTTGAAGAAGATGATGATGGAAATGGGGGCACTAAGAAGAAGAAGAAGAAAGACGAGGATCCCGGCCCTTCCCTTAGGTCTACGATCCTGAAAATGCTGGAAGCCGCAGCAACTATGTTTGCGTCAATCGCTGTTGTAGGGTGAGACCATATAACATTCTCTACATGCTGGGTTTGGTATAGGTGCCCTAACTATCCCAATCGCGCATACGCACAGTGCGGCCGGATACTCTTATCATCGGTACTATAAACATCTAGTCTTGGAGAAAATGGACAATGCATTCAACCCAGGAGATCCAGTTCTCGAGGTTGCTGGCGTGGCGCCTTCAATGGGCACCGATGGCAGTGACACAGGTCACTGGGTCGAACGTGAGGAGCAGAATAGGGTTGATCGGATAGTCAATGGTACCATTCGAGGCCGCTACTACCTGATTATCGGCGAAAAAGGAACTGGAAAGACGTCCATGCTTCTCGATGCCATGAGGAAAATTAATGGTGATGGAGTCGCATTTTTCGAAGCACATGCAGACCTTGAGATTTTCCGTATTCGACTCGGCAAGGCTCTAGACTTTGAGTTTCATGAAGAGTATGTATATATGACAAGTCCCTCAAAATGATATATCGGAAGGTTTACTCAAGTTTTATTTTATAGCTATATCGGCAGTTTGTTCAGCATTAGAGGACCCCGGGACACCACAGCCTTGCTGGATATTGAACGAGCTCTCAATAAACTTGAGAAAGTCGCGCTTGCGCGGCGGCACAAGGGTGGGAGACCGTTGGTTTTAATTGTTAACAGCACCCATCTTGTCAGAGACGATGAAGATGGGCGTGACCTTCTAGAAATGATCCAGCAACGTGCTGAACAATGGGCAGCAAGCAACTTGGTAACAATGAGTGAGTTAAATATACGGGTTGGCTCCTTTCGCGTCGCCCTGCGTATTAACAACAGTGTAGTTTTCAACAGCGATGATTACTGGGTCTATGAACGGTTAAAGCGTTACGCCACCCGAATGGAAATTATTCCTGTTCCTGATCTTCCCAAGAATCAAGCGATGATAGCTCTTAGGCAATATAGGCAGAAATACTTTAACGAGACCCTCGAAGATTCGATTCTTGAACAGGTCTACGACAGGGTTGGCGGACGGCTAACATTTCTAAATCGCGTTGCAAAATCAAGGGACATGCTGGGGACATGTGCGCAGATATGCCAGGCGGAGAAGACATGGTTTCTCAACAAATGCTGGATATTGGGTACGGAAATGGACGATGATGTTATGAATGAGCAGAAATACTCGGTAAGGGGCAATTTACCCCTTTGCTGTGCTATTTATACACTTCTTACTAATCTCATCTCTAGTCTGCCGCAATGGTCCTCGCTAAAGAGCTGGTCGACCGGGAAAAGGCCATGGACGAAACCTATCACCCAGAACAGGGACACATCCTTCCACAGATGCCTCTTCACGAAGCGCGACAAGTCATGACAAGAGCAGACTTTATCCAGAGCTACGATCACGATAACATATTCACCATCGACTCCAATGCCATGGTTCGGGCGGACTCCGTTCCGATGCAAATTGCCTTCAGGGAGATTTGTAATGAGCCAGGCTTTGCCGAACACCTGGAAAAGACCCTAAATCGAATTAGCGACATTGAGAGCTTGGGCAGGACCCGAGAACTTACCGTTAAGGACTTCTGGCACAATGGGTCATTCAAGGCGGTCATTCGCGATACGAGAGGTAGAGAGGCTGGAACTGTAGAGATCGGTGTGGTTCAACCCAAAGAAGAAGAAGAAGGAGGAGGAGGAGGAGGAGGAGGAGGAGGAGATGATGATTAAAGAGTGTGCGTTTTTGCTCGTGAACTGCAAGCTTGATCATTTTGTTGTCGATACGCATCTTGTCCCTCTTTTTGTTTTTATCTAAAATAACCCTTTTACTTTAATGGGTCTGCGGTTTGAATAGGCGTTCCGGCCCTTCAAGTTTATACTCCGTCAGTCTAAAATTTCCTATTTGCTTGTATTATAGTAGTGTTCAGTGATCACACCCTTGCTTTAACCAGTTTAATTACAAATTTTAATATTTGTGCATATAGATGTTTAGATGTTTTCGGTTCTTAACCCAAGTGGACATCCTGAAGTTCATCAAGCAGGCAAAATACGACATCCCTCATCATAGATGTCTTTGTAGGCAGGCAATGTGTACACATTTACAGATGGCTCCTGGCTGGCAAAGCCCTTAGCTAATTTGTCGCAGGAAAGTATTTTCACGGCAGAAATGCAACAATAATATCCTATTTAACCATTTTTTCCGGTTAGATTCCACTCATAGTTATTCATGAACCTCCCTCCGCATTTCCCTTGATACTTTCCACGGTTTCCAAGGCGATTTGTTCCATGGAAAGTTGGAGATAAAGTTAGCCAATCAGACGTTTGTAAACAACCTGACTCCCGAAAGCTGCCCTGACGTCATCGGCTCGCTCCTCCCATCGATTAAAAACATAACATCAAAACAATCCCTGATCTGCGATCAACACACAAGAACCGCCACTTTCAGGAATCCGGTCCTTATGCCACGTTTAACTCGCAAAATCCGAACTCCTGAGTTTTTTCAACCCGTTCGCATCCCAGACAATTCAATACGCAAGGTGCCAACGTCGCGATCCCACTCCGCCACTCCCCGCCGCCGAGGAGTACGACGAATCGTTTAAAATGCCGCCTCGAAAAGCATCAACGACGCCAGTGAAGGCGAGCTCGAGGACGAAAGTGAAAGCTGCAGCATCCAATGTAGAGCAGGTCGTAACTAGAGATGCCCCTAACTGGCTCCTCTGTCTGGTGCAATACAGCGGCATTTTGTTATCTAGTCTGGCGCTCAGCACCGCGCTATTCTCCCTTAGTACTCAGATTACACACGGAGATCTTGCCTGGACTAGC